CATAATATTTAAACACAGTGTCAATTTAAAAACTTTAACGAATCACTGCTACGGCAGTCTTTTCCTCGATACACACCGACATATTTTTTCTCATACTCGTGCTTCGGCTTCGAGCTAGCAAAAATACCAGCGACCGCGTTCCTCGTCAATGTGACCTCGACGATGTTTGCACCTCGGCAGGCGCGATCCTGTGCTCGTTGTTTACGTCCGATAATTTTCAACGTGTCCATTTCTTTCCGCGAAGACGCGTTTGATTAATCGGACTAGATGATATCCTAATAAAGAGAAATGTCTGACAATTCTCATTTTATCCCGTACCATCTGGTTTTACATTAGTGCGAATGATTACAATTACATTGGACGGTAAACGAAAACAAGCGAGACGGTGTTTTACAGGGGCGCCGTATTTTTACGACGACGACTCTCGAGAGTTCGCCGATTCTCCCCGCGCGTGTATAAAAATTAAAAGTCAAGAGGACTCTCCGCGATGAAATTAAACAGTTTATGACGAGAGGAAGATAGCCGATAGTGTTTTCGACTCCGAACCTCGAAGAGAACGCGCAGAGCCGTGCCAGCTTTGGCACACGCTTATTAATACTGTGTACACATACAATTTACCGAATAGCCAAGAAGCGAAACGCGTCAGAACCATTTCAAACGGAGAGAATACTTTCGTTCTACCGCTCGATGTTCGTGAGCTGCATAGTTGCTCCGACACGACGCCTAACACGCTACGTGACAAAACTATCCGATGTTCACGTCGGACTACGTTCAACTATGTTACAATGTAATTAGACACGTTACAAGATGCCTGCGGTGTATGGGATGTCCTTGAAACAGAATCCCAACCGGCGCTGAAACTATGTGGAAAATGTTGAATTTGCAGGATCCTGAAATCTGCGGATTGCCTAGTCGACTTGGAACATTAGGTCGTTCGCATCTGCGGAAGCTCGAATATTTTTGCAAGTTCGTTGTCGAGCGAATGCGCCTCCTCATTATTTCTTCATCGTCGAGGATAAAATTTCACACACCGTAAGCCTCGCCATGAACTGTGAACTGTCAAATTGTAAAGCAAGGATCACTTTCAAGCGTACCGCCCAGCATGATAAAGACTCGATATTTTGTTGATGTCTCTCTCTCTCTCTCTCTCTCTCTCTCTCTCTCTCTCTCTCTCTCTCTCTCTCTCTCTCTCTCGCTCCCCCCCCTCTCTCTCTCTCTCTCTTTCTTTCTCTTTTTCTCTCTCACTCTCATTCTCACTCTCAATTTTGACTACCAAGACATCGGTTAAGGTTAAGCCCCAACGCCATTTTATGAAAAGTAAGATAATAGATTTTAGAATATTAATGAAATGTGGTACAAATGAGGACCACGCGTACGCAGTCTCCAATGGTAAAAAATTATATGTTCCGTAGCGACAAAACCACATCCAACGGCCTCGGGGGCCAACAAAAAACTTATTTTGTTGATGTCCACGCTGCATTGACGACAGATTCGCATGACGTTTTATCGATATCGTATGGATATAGTCGATATCTATATATCAACTCGATATCTCGAAAGTATCATATACGTTTCGGCCGATTATTGATAATCTCATCGGTATCTGATCGTGTCTAGTCTTATTCAAATCGAGTCGATACAAGCATGTATCGATTCGAATTGAGTGACATAATCTGGATGACGACTAGATCGCCGATATTTACATAACATCTTCCAGATACGACGGCAATCTTAGAGATATCAAATCGATCGTTGATTTCCAATTGATTTCCAATTAATGGGATTTCATCTTGATTTCGACATAATGCTTCAACCGTGAAATCAACCGGATTGTTTATCGACTTGCGGGCTCGGAGAGCGAGGAGTCACCCTCGAAATCTGCCAAGAGCACGCGACGTCGTAAGAGTTCCAAACGACAGAATCTCGGTGAGACGAGACTCTTCCTCGTCGAACAACGGCGGATAGCTGTCGGTTGGCTCGCTCGTTCTACAACAACTTGCTGCGCCGTAAAAACTTGCTCTTGCTATATCGGGCGATTTTTGCATGGCCGTGCTCGTCTTGTCTTCTGTCCGAAGCGAGCGAGCATCCACTTCGATTTTCATCTCCCGCTGTAAAATATCGATCGATCAACCGCGGGGGACTGCTTCTGGCCGCCATGCTTCGCGAAAACGGGTTGCGCCCTTTTTATGAACGACACTATCTTCCGCGTTCCAGCTCTCACCTTTTTTATTCAGAGACGAAAGCAATCGGCCCGGACCGCCGTGATATGTACGATCGTGAAAGAGACACTCTTGTCGATAGGAACACGTCCTTTCGGTGTCGTTCGCAAGGAGGGGGAGGGGGTTATGACCTCTTCATCGAAAGGCATAAAATTTGGGACCCGACCGTCCCGCGGGAAGTATCCGGCTCCGACCAACGTCGGACGACGATTGATCAAATACGATTCGACAGTCATTCAAACGTACAGGCCATATATGCTTTTTCTATCAATTTTATGGCGTCTCTATTCAGCTGCCTGTTATCGTATATTGAGGAATTCCCATGTGCGGATTGCAATATAATATAGAGTGGATAGATTAAAAGCCCCGCACTTGCATATTCCGCTCGAAATATTAGCGCTCGAATTAAAATGAATTCGATATTATATAAATAAATATTAAATTTGCTTGCTTATTGAATTTAAATATGTCAGCGCGGAGCTTTAATTGATCCGCTCTTATACCGCAATCCGCGTATGAGAATTTCTAAATATACGATCAGCTAAATGGAGCAGACGCCGCAGATATTATTTATATACGAGTATGTATTATATATTATATATTATATATTATATATATTATATATATATATATATGCATGTTTTTCTATAGACATGTATACATGTATACATGTTTATACAGCCTGTTTGATAAGAGCGTGTCCGGCAAAATCATTACGGGAAATGCTAAAAAGAGCTGGTAGAGGGAAGTTTTGCGCAAGATGTTTTGTAGAGAAAGCTTCAATTGTCGTTCGATCTTCGTGACAAAAAAATTATAAAATATGTCCTTTCGCGTATCGCATACGCATCGCAATTCGAAGCCGTTTCTCTGCATACATCCGAAAGAACCAAAAATGTCGAGCGACTAAATATATGAGAAAGTTTGTAGCATTTATGAATAAGTGGGTGAATCACTACTTATAGAGGTGAAAAACATCGATGATTTACCAGAATGTGGTTGTACATAGTAAACGATGGACAAAGAGGACAAACAAGAGAATTTTACAGATGGTTGCGGACAATATTTCATCATTGTGAGGCGGACAAACAGCGTTAAAGAAAAAGATCTAAATATATCATGTGACACAATAAGAAGACAACTACGTGCTTGTAATGTGAAATATCGAAGCACAAGGAAGAAACCTTTATTGTTCGAAAAACACGTCGAGAAAAGAATTGCTTGAACGCAGGAAAATATAGATCGCAATTGGGGCAATGTAGCTTTTTCCGACAAAGCTTCCTGTTGGGCAGATACTTCTATGACTCGGACCTGGTGAACCCTTGTTAATAGACTCGTCCAGCGGACTTTTAAACATCCGGTAAAGATGCACGTTTGGGACTGCTTCTCAAAGCAAGAATTTAGCACTTTGCATATCTTCACAGACAATTTATACGCTGCCAAAATTTATGAGAAGGTTTGATTACCGTCTGTCCACAAGTGGTTTATAAGCAAAAACAAGAAATGAACACTAGAAGAAGACAATGATCCTAGTCGAAGTCGTCTTTGTACCGCATCAAAACAAGAAAATGAATTACTAGATTGATCGTCACAGTCATCGGATGCAATCCCATTGAAAACGTTTGGTCTTGGATGAAGCCTAAGCTTCAGGGAAAGAAAATTTGCAGGGTCAAGGAGATTAGTTCCAAAAATTAAATTGATCTGGAGATCTTTACTACAAAAACATGCCATAAAATTAGTTGAAAGTATACCTCGGAGATGCTACACAATTATTGATAATGAAAGCAACTGGACAAGTTATTAATAACAAAGCATCACAGTTCTAATTAAATAACATAAATATTATAAATAATATAAATATTATAAATATTATAAATAATATATTTTGTTTCAACTCATTACAATAAGTTGTTTATCGGATTCTACCCCTCGGGCACGCTTTTACCAAACAGACTGTATTTTAAGCAAAACTTATCATAATATATTCGAGATAAAAACTTGGCAATTATAGAGTAAAATATCCGTTGATAGTGATTCTAATAATATTATTCAACTCCCATTCCAACTCATTACAATAAGTTACTTACTGAGTTCTACCGGACGTGCTCTTATCAAATAGACTGTATTTTAAGCAAAACTTATCATAATATATTCGAGATAGAAACCTGGCAATTATAACATAACATACCGAGTTGATAGTGATTCTTAATGTTATTATTTCCATTTTACTCAATCGATCGAAACGGTACAAATATTTTTTACAGCATGTTTCTATTCTTTGATTGCGGTTGAAAAGAGCTTCCTGCCAATCGAGCCATTGGAGCAATCTTGAACAACGTTCTGTGGAAATGCAATCATAATTCCGCCTGCTATGTAGGTCAGCACGATGACATTTCGGTCTGTAATTACTCCTGCAGGAAATGAAACAGCGGCCATCTTGTACCTGCCGCAAATCGAACGGACTGGTAAATCGAGGAAATTAACCACAGCAGATTTAATTCCTTCGGGAATTGACGATTCCTCCTGGACACTAATCAATCGACCTGGAAGCGACGTGGATATGAAGTACAACTGAGTGATGAAAACTCAACGATAAGATATTACAACAAACTGCAACAAATTGCACAAGAAATTTGTGGAAATATCAGGAATGTGTTGGTGATTCGTAAAAGTGGAGTAAACAAACAACTTTATTGAATACTTGAATTATATTATTAGACAATATATTAAATTGACAAAAACATAACCAAAATCTAATAAAAACACTTTAGACAATATTAGTTAAAACTTTATCCTTTAACAACGTTCGACATTATAAAGGGAAAAATATTCTAATAGAAGTAACAATAAAATTTTTATAATCTTGGCGATTATATAGAAATGTGACTAAAATTGTAATATATTTGATATGTCAAAATGTTATGCACGCTTAACGTTCATACACTATTGTAATTACTTTATTTTCTTCTTGTTTTCTATTATTATAATAATTCGTAGTATAATTTTAGTTAATAGCTCAGCTTTACAAACATATTGTGAAGAGAAATATATTAATTTCAATGTAATTCTTATCTACAATATTATCGTTGTATACAATTAAAACATATTGTTTCACTTTTCCCTTTTTCTTATACATAACTCAAGACATAAATCAACACGGCATAGTATACAACAATGCACCATTCAATAGGAATTTATCAGAGCGGTGCGATGTAGCTTATTGCGAGGACTACAGCTGTGACGCCCTTCCGGAATGTGTCTTCCACACCACAATTCATAGTTCTCGTGGCAGTGACTGCAGGCCGTCCTAAACGGATTCCTGGGCCTTCCGGTACTCAAAAACACTTCCGCGTTCCGCGAAGTTATGCGAGTCTCTGATACGCAACGGCGGCGCGCTCGTGCCAGGCACGCCGTAACCACCGCCGCCTGGACTTTCCAGGATAAATTTGTCCTGCGAAGAAACCGCAAAAGATCTTTACGAAAAATCATAAGCTAAGCTCTTAATATTAAACAGCTGTGAATTTCTAAATTCTATCCGGTTTAACCAATAAAATGCAATTTTGAAAAAAGCATACGTCCTTCCTTCACAGAAAGCCAAGCCTTGTTTCTACTTAGCATTTGGTAATCAGTGTTTTATAATAACAATAAGACTTATGCGGAGTGGTTACGTGATTATACGTAAAATTTGTTTATTGCGCTGTTGTTCTTATGATTTATGTGAACATTGCACACAATTAGATTATCTCTTTACGTTGTAAATGAAGATAGATATACCTTATCTTTCATAATTATTTCTCTCATAATTTGTAACAAGCGAATATACACTTACTCATAAAAAATGGCATCATATATTATTGCATTAAAAAATTCAGACATATTGCCATGAAATTACACGTTCGTAATTATTAATTATATTGAGAAGTAATGGCCGCGCGAGGACGACGCGCGCTGTCGCGTGTTGCACCGTTTGCACGTGCGTGGGGAACGAACACGGCTACGTGCGTCCCAACTTTTGACCGAACCGCTGGAAACTGTCCCGTCGAAACTTCGATGCCGAATATCGCGCGCCGCAAAATAACGTCATCCAAATTTTTGGGAAATTACGTTCGCGCCCGCCGCAAAGTCGTATCGCATATTAATGGAAATTTATCACGGAAATCGCACACGCTCGCGGTGTCGAAACAAAGTACCTCAATCGTATTACGTCAATATTGCCTGGAAATTACATTTACTGGAAAATTCACCAAATAACATAAGCTCTCGCTATTTGAAGAACTCGTCGTTTTAACAATGGCATAACTACAAAAAAAGATCTGTGTGGATCTCTCTTGTAATACTACAAATATGATTTGTTATGCGATCGAACAACGCTTTCGTTGGGATAACGCGAAATACTTCAACGGACTTCCCACTCCCGCTTCATTTTTTAATGTAATCTGCTTAAGACTTCTCTTTTTACCTACTGAGTGAATTATACAATCGCGGGATGTATAAATTCCCAACGCGCGGAACACCTTCCAGTATTCGGACAAAAGCTTTAAATGCGACGTGCCATCCATCACTACGAACGCAAGAAAGAACAGAAATTTTCTCGCCAACCGTCAATTCATTTTGCTTGACGCAACGATATATCGGCGAAATTAAATGAAGAATTCACGGCAAACGATAACGTTCTATCTTACCATCGACTTCGCGGAAACTTTCCCAAAAGGAAGCGCAAGGCTAATAAAAGGAGAAAAAGTGTCGGGGAGATCCGGCACATATACCTGCTTGATAATAGCAGCACAATCTTGTCGGAACTGCATGGCACATGAACTGTGCGGCTCCATTTTTTTTTTTCAAATTGAAGGGAAAGATTTGAACTTTATGACGATGTAAACGGCGTTCCCGAAAAAAAATTGTCCGTGCATTCCGTCAAACTTTGCAATTTTCAGTATACCAAACATGCCCTCAGATGTCAGGGGTTACAAGGATAGGAGTGCATCGCATGCAGAAAATGGAGATATATTCTTAAAGTAGAGACTTTAAGCTTTATTTTGAAAAAAAATCATTAGTCTACAATAATTTTTCGCAAAGTAATCGCCAGTCGGAGTTGGCCAATTTTCGGCAATAAATTATCTATGCCACAATTCTTTTGAGCAATATATATATGATCGAATGAAAATAAAATTTATATATAAATCATGTATAATATATAATTTATATAGGTATGTTTTTTAATACAATGATGTGTATAATCTTTTTGACGTAATCATTAAATTATTATAATTTTTTTATATAATTTTATATAATCTTTTTTTGATTGGTCATGATAAACAGTCATAATAATACATCGTCGGATATAACGTTGAGTAAAGTCAACGATGCTGTGCTACTTCAGTCCCATTCATCCTTTGAAGTTGAGATTTTGAAAAAGCTTAATAAACGTATTCAAAAAGAATTGAGCGACTTTACCGCGCAATGTTAAACTCGTAAAATCCTCTTCTTGAGAAAGTTTCCGCTTCGCGTTTAATGCAGTCTTAGGATCAAGAGTGATATATCAGGATTTTGTCACTCGCGCTACAGCGTGAAAAACTTAAAGCGCCTGCTCGACGCCTTCACAAGGAACTTAAAACACAATTATTATCTCATAACACCCACACAGAGGCATAAAGAAGATCCCCCTTGAACATTACCCCTTGCTGCGCGACTACGCATAAAGCATGGCAGGTAGCGAATCGTGTCTAACGAAATAAAATCTTTATGAGCCAACGTAAAGCCAATGGGAATTTTCCTCAGCGTTCTACCTCTTCGTTCCTATCCTTATCGTTCCTATTTCCTTATTTTTTGCATTCGACTGCGCTGCTTTATTTTTGCACGATTGTCCCCCCATATGAACAAGCGAGTTGTATAAATTTACAGTTAATCGTCCACAAATTATTCCTCATGAAAATCCAGAGTCGTTTCAGCTCCCGTAGAATTAATACTCGCTCTTACAGACGTATTTCTATGCAAAACATTCGCACCTCTCGGTCATCAACGACAAAATTCTCGAGACGCTTTCAATCATTAGCAAACTCCTTACTTTTGATGTTTCTCGATTTTTATCATAGCTTGCACGATTAAACTCCGACGTTGTAACGAACAGTTAATGATGTGTTTCATTTGCTTCAGAAAAATAACAAATTTGTCATACGTAAACGAAACAACTGCGGGTTTTTAACGTCTCCTACTCTGATACCTCTACTATGGGCCATTTTTACGAGAGTGTTACGATATCTAAAACGTTTCTTACCCCTGCATATACCGGAACAGCAGTCTTCGGACCCAAATTGATCTTTCTACCGTCAGCTCGCATCAAAGTATTGCGACCGCGTTCTCCTGGCATGCCTCCGTCAAGTCCAGGTGGCCTGTTCACTCTCCGCTCGGTTAACACGGATAACATCATCGGGACCCTGCCAACACACGTTTTCAACAAAATCCATAAACGGAAAGAACATTTACCGACACTTGTCACGCGTGCCATACTTCACATTGAACATTTTTATTTAAAAAAAATTTACACGTATACAGCTGCAATATATTCGTGCACGGGGTTCGGCCGCGTCGATTACCTGAATGTCATCTCACGCACAACACCGTCACCGCCACGATGCGCCCCATTGCCGCCACTTTCGGGTCTAAGCGAGAACTTGTTGAGTACAATCGGATAACGTAGTTCCAGTATTTCGAGATCGGTGATTCGCGTGTTGGTCATGTGCGTGTGCACGCCGCTTCTGCCGTCCCAAGTCGGCCCCTGCGAAAACGCAGACTTATTTATCGCCACAGAGTGACTTAGTTGTTGCACTCCCTGATGAGGTGCACCGGAGTGTTCACGAAACGCTGGAAGTGACTTGTCAAGAAACGCAGCCAAACCCAACAACAAACATTGTACCACACTGTGAAAATGTCAAATAAATGGACGGAATTGAATCCAATGATAAACCAGACGAGGCACCGTTTATATCGCACGCAAGTTATTTATATCATTACCCTTAATATCCACGAAGAATGATTTTTCCATGAAATAGGATTATTTTCCATATCCATATTTCCACGAAAAACACTTATTTCTTGGATAACTGCTTGTTGTGTATTAAATTATTCCGTATACTCTCCTTTTGTTTCTTTGTTTCTTCTAATAACTGTTCAATTAATTATTTCGTATCCACAGTTGCGTTCCTTTAAGATTCGAACGCGTCGGGTATCATAATGATCTTACCGCTCCGCTGCCACCGGCAACCGTCTCGTAATAACCCCATTCCTCGGTGCCGAGGGTCACATTGTTCATGCAACCCTGCGAGGCCGCGCAAGCTCCGAAAGCTCTCAAAACCACGTCGACGATGCGCTGAGACGTCAACACGTTTCCACCGACCACTGCGGCTTCCTCCGCAGGATCAAGCAGTGATCCCTTAGGGATGATTATCTTCACGGGCTTCAAGCATCCCTACGAAAGAAGAAGGCTCGAATTTCTCGTCAAGTTTCTCTTAAAAATATCGAGACGTCGTTACCTGATTCAGCGGTATGTCTCGACCAACGATGCATCTGAGGCAGTATATTAACGCGGAGAAAGTAATGGCGCGTGGCGCGTTGCAGTTGCCCCAGACCTCATGGCCGCTTCCGCTGCAGAGAGAAATGTTATTTTGAAATATGGATGAAGCGTTGCAGTTTACGACGTCATTAGTTGTGTGAAATTATATATAGAATCAACTTTTTCCGAAGATATTTTACTTCATAAGTTAAGTTTTATTTTACTCAGTTTATTTCTCAAAGTAAAACATATAGGATGTCCGGTAATTAGCTGCCAACCCGAAGTGTGAAGGATTTTTGTTAATTTGATGATTTTGAATTTTCCAAAAATCAGTAAGTTAACAAAAGTCAAGGCACTATTGTAACAATATATTCTTGAGACTAAATAAAGCAAGAAAGTCTAGTACCACTTTTTCTTCCGACAAATAATTAGCGAGATATCGTAAGTTAAATATTGAAAAAGTTATCAAGTTTTCCTCAAATATCTAAAAAAATATTAGACAAATAAAGAAATGTTTTAGATAAAAGTTGTTCAAATTAACTAGTAGAAAAAAGTAGTATAGTAAAAAATAAGGGTTCCTATTTAAAAAACGCAAGTTAACCTTCAAATAATCTTGAAAATAGAGGTCAAGGTCAAAGTCAAGGTCATCATAAGGTAGCTCACTTAAATCCTTATAACTTTTATTCAGATCATTTTCCTTGAAACTTCAATACTGAAGAGTTATTTGGGATGGGACATTAAAATGGGACACCCTGTATATTAATTTTACCAAGTAAAATTATATATTTTGCTCGCGCGATATTAATGAACTGGAAAAATATAAAAATATTGTAGCCAAGAGTTAATGCTCATTATTTGAATGAGACAAAAAACACGAACACTTTCTGTATTAAATGGCGCTTTAACGCGATATACGTTTCTGACAGTTTTCTACAGTTACCTGAAATCACATGTCGCTTCGCCCTCGTTAATATCAAAGTCCAAACGCAATTTGATAGGACTACCGTCGTCAAGGTAATCGACAGCAGTAACGCTGGTATCTCCGGTTTGTCGCAGAACTTTCGTGCCTATCGAACTCAGCATCTCTCGTACAGCAATTTCTGCATTGCGTTGTATGTGGCCCATGTATGCCTGTACTACTTCGAGTGTGTACGTGTCGATCAGGTCGTATACCAGTTGTGAGCCCTTAAGCGGAAGAAAATTAATTCACTTCGTTTACGTTCGTTGTTAATTTCATCGTTAATTTTCATTATCAGGTTGTTCGTTCATGTTACAGACAAATAAATAGTCTTACAATGTGAAAACCCGTAATTGAATTCCAAATAAATTAACGATGTGCAAGATGAAAAAAGTGCGAGATAAAAAATATCAATATTTTATATTTGTCGGAGCACATCGTACTTTTTGATTCGCTGCAATTTGAGCTTTGAGATCGCTGAGGTTGTCCGAGAGATTTCTGGTACCCGAACTTCCTGGTATCTTGCCCGGCGCCATCAAAGCGTCCGTCAGTTCTTTTTCACGAAAGATTCCTTTGTGTACCAGCAAGAAACTTTTAAAAGCAGCACCTTCCTATCGAAACACAATATTGTCGTACATAGTTGACTTAAATAAGCATATCCAACGACAATATTCTCATACTTGAAATAGCATCGTTGAATGCGGCGGCATAGAACCGGGAGTAATCCCGCCGATGTCAGCGTGATGACCTCTGCTGGCCACGAAGAATATCGGCTTCTCCACGTTCCTGCATATAGACAAGATGTTTACTTTAAATTTAACAGATATTAATTAAGGCTACCCGCGAGTAACCAAAGATTTATAAATCTTTTATTCTTATCAGTTCTTACTTGAGCTATTTAGCGCATACAGAATATTTTCTTAGTTTAGTCTCTTCCCGAAATATTATATTCAACAAACACGAAACGTTCGCAGCATTTTCTTCAAGATTTTTTAAAGAGAATATTTTAAAGAGAATACGACGTACAACGAATGTACATACTTGTAGAACACCGGTGTGATGACCGTCAAATCCGGCAGATGGGAGCCGCCTGCTGACGGGTGGTTAGAGAGAATGACGTCTCCCTGCTCAAAATTACCCTTGAATGCCTTTATCTGGTACTGTACGGTCTCCTGCATGGCGCCCAAGTGCACTGGAATGTGAGGTGCGTTTGAAACGAGACCACCGTCGGGACCGAAAACCGCGCATGAAAAATCCAATCGCTCTTTTATGTTGGTAGAAATGGAAGTTCTCTGAAGTATCCTATCGAGAAGGAAAGGCGAATATTAGAGTCGTGACTCCAATAACTCTGAGGACGACACATCGTTGAGATTACTCGTTGGCGCACGTACCGACCCATTTGCTCGGCGATGCTCATGAAGCGATGCGAGAAGATGCTAAGCTGGATGGCATCGAGGTCGGTGCTGATTTGTGTTCGAGGACATTGTCCGATTGTGATCTTCACGTCTCCGCGACTGGTAATGATGGCGGTGCAATTCGGTTCCACTAAAATCGTGCTCAGACTGTCCATGATAATGGCGGGACCGTTTATATTCTGCCCAGCGCATAAGGAATCTAATTGATAAACCATCGTCTCCTGATAGCCATTTTCAAAATACACCATAGTGGTCTGGAAAGTATTAAATTAAAATTTTCTCACAAGCGACAATAAGATACATTCTATGATTACATATTCTACACCCTTTTAACATGAATGAATAATAATGTTTCTGATTGAGCCAATAAGAGGAATATTTCACCAATAATCAATAATAATCCCGTTGATTTTCGCTAGAAATACTTATCAAATTTAAGAATTTATGTGCACATAAAGTATGAGAGGATCTGTTTATCAACTGTTTAATCTGTCGCCTAACCTTTTTGTGTTTTGGCGGTTCCGAGCTCATAGGTAATACAGGATCCTCGAGAATTTCAGTTTTACCGATTCCTCGGACCCTCACATCGTTCACCAGAATCTTGCGATCCGGCATAGTAAAGCCAAACTCGGTCTGGTATCTTTATTAAAGAAAAATTCCAATGTAAATCATTTTTTAACAATAGAATAATCGAAATAAAGGGAACGTAGCGTTTTCTTTGTTTTTGTAACGTGGGAAGTTTACCTTTGTAGAAATGAAGCAAGAAAGTCTCCGTGTCTGGTATATTTCCCTTCATTCCTGTCTACTCTAATAGGAATGCACATTAAAGCGCAATCAGTCCCCTGATAACGCAGGTGTAGGAACGGCTGCGTTTCTATTTGAGCGTCCGTGAATCCTTGCGCACGCAATTTGCTCTTAACTTTCGCTTCCATCGCGTCCAGACGGGCATCCAGACGATCGAAGCTTTCTGCGTGCAGATAATATACACAGCTACATTGAGAAACGATATGCAAGAAATATAATAGAAACATAAAAACAGGAATATTTAAAGAAAGTATATAGGAAAGAAAATATATGGGAAACGATGAAGAAAAAAAAACTTTATCGTTATAAAAGATCACCCTGCTCATAAATCTCGGCGCTTGGCTCCTGAACCTCTTCGACGACGTCCGCCAATGCCATGCCGTAAGCTGATAAAATACCGGCGTATTTATGAATGAAAACTGTGCTCATGCCCAGAGATCGTGCGATCGCACAGGCATGTTGCCCTCCAGCACCACCGAAACACGCCAGAACGTGGCGCGAAGTGTCGTAACCTTTCGCCTGTTTCGAGAAAAAGAATATAAGTCACATTGCACCACATATTACGAGTACAATTTTACCATTGTATACATTGTATACATTGTATATGAAGTTACAATTTCAATGTAAATAACAAAATATAAAAGCACAATTTCAATGTAAAAAATGTTAATAACAATACCTGAGTCAATGCGCAAATCGGACGACACATGGTCTCGTTCGCGACCCTGATGAAACCCATAGCCACTTCTTCGGATGTCATTCTTTCGGCTGTTGGATCTTCCCCGTTATTACTCAAAAACTTGTTGATCTATAACGTAGACGTTCTATTAGTGTTGAAAGTATGACATTTAGCTACTCCAAAATTTAATGTAATGTAATGTAAGTCTGCTTGTGTAAGAACGTTTTCAATATCGCAAAAGACTTGTGACACTGACATTTTCACGAGAGACATAGCATATTGAGAAATTACCTCGTTGGTGAGTTCCTCGAATGCCCTTAACGTGCAGCATTTATCGAGCGGCTCATTCTCGCTAGGCCCAAAAATTTGAGGAAAATATTCAGGCAGCAGGCGACCCAGCATGAGATTCGCGTCTGTCACTGCCAGCGGACCACCCTTCTTGTAACACGCGGGTCCAGGATGAGCACCCGCGCTCTCAGGTCCGACCACGAAGAGACCCGACCTGAAGAAAAGCATCGATCCACCTCCTGCCGCAACTGTGTTGACGTCCAACTTCAACCGAATTTTTATTTAAAGAGACCGAATTTCTTCTGCCTCACTTTCTCATTGCGAGAAAACGCGACAGCAACCGATATTTTCAGAAGAAAAATTGAAGATATCTCAAGAGACACGCGTTTGACAAACTGCTTGTTCTTGCGACAAATTTCTCCCATCTTGTTAATTAATATTAAGAGGTAATGTGCTCGGATTACTCCGAGTTATACCTGAGGCGCTTGTATGGTGACGCCCGCTGTCGTGCTCTCGTAAACGTGCTCGTAACTGCCTCCGTATCGACTCACGTCGGTCGATGTGCCGCCCATGTCGAATCCGATGACAGGCAGATCGGTCTCCTTTCCGTAAGTCGTGATCGCGTATCCAACGACACCACCAGCTGGCCCGGAAAGTATCGCGCGTGATCCGTTGAAACTTTAATGTGGCCGTAAATCCCGTTTAATACAGAAGTGACGAAGAAGTGACTTTTCGCAAAGATGATAACTCAAGCGTGTGTAACACTCACGAATTCATAGATGTTAATCCGCCGTCACTCTGCATAAACAACACGTTTACTCCGTTCAAATTATCTTTGAATCCTGAAGAGAATCCCTGCGGAAAATATCATGTATCACCATTTGGAAATGACGATGCCGCTTCCAAGGTATCTCACGTGTAATTACTGGCATTACCTGCAAATAATTTTTTATATGCGGCGTCAAGTAAGCGTCCGCACAGGCAGTGAAACCTCTGGGAACTATTCTGATCATCGGCATCACTTCGTGCGAAAGAGACACGTGAGCGAAACCTGCTTTCCTCGCTAATTCGCCAACCCTGATCTCGTGATCCACGTAGCTAGATTATCAGAAATAGAAACAAATATTAAAAAATGTATATAAATATTAAATATTAAAGTGTAAGTATATAACAGAAAGGTATAAATAAAAAGTATAAACATATGATGAGAAAACTAGTATATAATCATGCGCGATCACGATCACAATCTTCCTTAATTAATAACTCAAAATTTTACGTAGTTTTTACGAAATAGTAGTCGGATACCCTGTATATACAGTAATAATTATAATCAAAGTAAAATATAATTATCTACTAACGTATAACTGTGCGCCAAGACGACAGCGAGGCTATCTATTCCCAAATTACGGAGTTCCTCCAGATCTTTCACCAATTGCACTTCATCGAGTTCTTGAGTAACGAACATATCTTCGCCGGTGGATCCTTTCACTCTTCGCCACGATTTGTTGTCCAATTGGCACCTGCCCGTCAGAGCGGGAATCACTCTGCATTTTACCTCCACCACCTTCTTGTACAGAACCTCCGGTGTCACGATTTCCTGTAAATATTCGGTGAAAAATGATTTAAGATTAGATAGGAGCAATGCGATCGTGCAATCGAAGTAAGAAGCTTCATGAAGAAAATAAACTGTACAATTTGCGGTATACTGAATTGCTTCGAATACAAGCACGACCACAAATACAAAGCACAAGTCTGTTGAATTCAACTATACGAACCAAATCGAAAATATTTGGTCGAGCCTGATTACCGATGAATATCAAATCTTTAAAACCCTCGTTTATCAATAAAGCCATTTTCGCGCCTTTTCGCTCCAGTAAAGCATTGGTGGCCACCGTCGTGCCCATCCTGATCCATCCTATCCTGGAAGTATCCACTACGTTGTCCATTTTAACATCGGTTTCCTAAAATTGAAGTATGATCGTGAATTGTATGTGTATGTCAAACATTTTCAAACGAATACTTTTGCTCTTTGCAAAAAAGTACTGCAAGTATGTTCTGTTACAATTATATTGTAACAGGACATGTAATAAGTCTCAATATTGCCTTTGCTCACAAATTTTCTCTTGTGATTGTTGAATAATCCCTTTCGATTGCAACACCATTCTTGTATTTGCTTCGTCAGCCATTGATTATTACGTACAATTGTTCATAACTTACCTGCTCAAGTATCCTGCGGATGCCTTCCCTCGGTGCATCTTCGTAATTAGCCGGATCTACCGACAATAATTTCATAACTCGGATTTTACCCCCTGGACACCTCGCATATATATCAGTGAATGTGCCTCCACGGTCTATGGCGAATTCGAATTTGTCGCCGTCCATTGTTTCTTAACAAATGAGTCTGGTAAAAATACAGAATAGAAATGCGTTATATAACAGTTCTCAAGAGATTCGTACAAATAATATCTAACACGTGTCTCTTCCAATTATTTCATTTCCAGTTTTATATTATAATTGTATTTTGTCTTGTTATTTCTTACCTAAGACAATGTATCTCAAAAAAGTGCATATTCATTATAATATAACTCCAAGTTTAAAGTTACGAACGATAGTAAAATAATTTATATATCCCTCTTGAAAGATATGATTATTGACATTAGGCTTCGAGAATTCACAAGTCACAATATCTGATAAGAAGTTAATTTATGTCGCTCCTTCATAACATGGAAAATTTAGTTTATCAGATTAGATATCTTTTTCATATAGGGTTGAAAATATTTTTTAAATACCATATGATCTACATACAGTAGCGTGCAAAACTTTTGAGCCGCACAATTATTATTATATATCCATTTCATAATGAGCGCTAAAAACTTTATACATATATACAAACAAAATGTATTTATTTGTCCTACAATTATATAAACTTTACAAACTCTTAATAATTCTAAATATTTTATTTTTACGCAATGTCTTATTGCAAACAGTGCAAAAGTATTGCGCCAAAAAGTTTTCTTATGCATAAGAAAAATATATTATTGAAAAATAATAACAGAAAATGTTGTCAACATTTTTTTAAACTTAATACTTTGTTGCCATGCCTTTAGAAGCAATCACTGCAGCACGGCGAGGCATTGATGCTATTAAATTAGAAATGCGATCTTGAGATAAATTTTGCCATTGAGTTTGCAAATCTTGCCACAATTCAGCTTTATTGGAGTGTTTCTTATTTCCTGTACGTAGTTTGAGTTCTTGTCACAAATGCTCAATAGAATTTAAGTCCGGCGATTGCGAGGGTCAGTCAAGAACTCGCATTCTTTTCATGATAAAAAATTCTTTTATCAGTTTTGATGAATGTTTGGGATCGTTATCTTGTTGGAAAATCCAACTATGTGGCATGTTTCGAGTTGCATATGGCAGCATATTCTGTGTCAATATATCTCGATACATTATAGCGTCCATAATACCCGTGACCTCAATCAATGGACCAACTCCATTATAAGAAAATGATCCCCAAACTATCACGTTATCTCCACCACGTTTTACGGCAGGAATTTGGTATCTTGAGTTATATCTTGTGCCTGTTGGACGTCGTATATACTTTCTACCGTCACTTCCGAATAACTGAAACTTTGACTCGTCAGAGAAAAGTACTTTTCGCCAATCAACTTCAGTCCAATGTTCAAATTTCCTTGTAAAATCTAATCGAGCTTTCTTATTTTTTGCACTAATTAATGGTTTTTTTACACCAGCACGTCCTAAAAGGTCTACTTCCTTTAGACGTCGAGATATTGTACTTCGACTAATATCAGCAAAATTTTCTTCTCGTAGTTCTCAAGAAATACCCATGGCAGTTTTTCTAACATCTGGTATCGACTTTCTTTTAATCATTTTATCGATGCGCTTTGTAGTTTTGCAAAGTCTACCGTTTCGTGGTTTATCAGCTAGAGAGTTCGTCAACTTATATTTAGCAATAATCCTATTTACAGTACTTTTATCAATTAATAAGCAATTAGCAATTTCGAGAAAAACCTTTCCTTGTTGGGAAAGATTAATCATGGCTTTACGTAACTGAAGGCTTATATGTTTCGGCATTGCGATAGCGGGTAGACAATAGACTGAAACTTAGTTAAAGCAAATACGAAGGAGTTTCATAAGAAATGTTTCATAAGAAAACAAACCGAGCTTATAAAGTCACAATAAGAATATGGCTTAATATTTTTGAACACATATAAATATTATATAACTAAATAATTAGAAACTATGTAATTTCAAAATTTTGTAACTGTACTATTATTTGTAAGAATATTTTGTCAACTATTTTATATAATTAATTTTTAGAGCAAATTATTGACAATAATATATTGTCATGTATCTTAAAAAGACACTATGGCTCGAAACTTTTGCACGCCACTGTATATACATATATATTTAGTCAGCACAGACCTTCAAAGGACATCTTAAGGACATCCTAAGGATGTTTCAATATCCTAAAAACGTCACCAGGACACTTCCAACACATTCATTTTGTGCTGTCTGGGTATATATGCTGTATATTCTTTAATATAAAGGTTGATTTATGACTATCACGTGTGTATATGTATCCAAAATGTTCCAGAAATAAATGACCAAACTTGAAGAACATATTCTACTCACTATAAGAATAAAAAATCATTTGGGTCCGGAGACACTTTCTTTTCAAGTTATAAAAATTTTGTATTTACAACAAATAATATGTTTCACATCAACGTGTCATGCATTATTCTTCATTCATCTTCTATTAAAAATGGAGTAAATAAGTTAGCAGATGGGTCTGTTTGAAATTATAATAGATTTTTACTAAGCGTTTAAGAGTTTAAGTTTAAGAGAAAGACAGTGCCAAAGATAACAGATAACTTATTCCATACTCTAATTCTTCTATGCGTTGTAGATAAAAATCCGTTGTAGATAAAAAATATATTATAACTTGAAAAAGAATCTATTTTTATATGATCTTTTTTCATTCTTACAGTGAGCAGAATATACTCTTAAAAAGTTTGATTATATATTTCTGGAATACCTTATATACACATACATGCACATGATCATAAAAAGTATAATTATGCTAAAAGAAACAAATAAATAAATACTTGTATAATGGCGTTAAAAGAAGGAAAAATAAATATTTGATTTAAAATATCACTCTTATTAGACGTCTTAATAGTTGTTAGTTTCGAAAATTTATTAACATCTCTAACACGTGCATATTTATCACACCCGTTATTTGTACGTCCACTATATATGTATATCTATCAATTTGCTACTTACACGTTGTTGGGAATACTCCACTGGAAGAAACAATTATTGACTTGCAACAGCGTTAACAACGTATTAACGTCACGCAAAAATACTGTGACAATGTATGACTAGTGATCTTTTGTCACTATATCACTATACCTTACGAAGTAGCTCCAACAATAGCGTTTTCTCAACGACTGGGACCTAGCTACGAACTCGAGGAATTTATACTCGACCTACGTAGATCCTACGTAGAGGTTCTCAATCGAAAACCAAAAGATCAATAAGTTAACCGTATGATTATATCATATCTTTTCTTTTTAATTTTTTATTGATAACAGGTAAAATATTGTTGCCTCTTGTAACTAAAAAAAAGGAAGAAAGAGATAAAAAGGGGGGGGGGGAGAAAGAATTAAATTAAGAAGTAACGGCAATAGCATAACAAACAAAACAGGAAATTTTTTATTGAGAGGAGGGAAGGGGGAAGCACGAGATTATAAGAGATTTTTCATTACAATACATTTATTTATGTAACAGCCATACATTTTACAAAAATAGAAATCAACAGTTCTGTAAAGTATTTCTCTAAATATATGTATACATGTATCTTCATAGCTAGAAGCTAGAAGATATTATTTATCAATGGTACAAGAATAACAATGTGCAGATATTACATTGAACTGTCTTCCGATTTGATTTTCGATAAAAAACAATATATATACGTAATAGCTTTTTGTGCAATGAGAATCACTGGAATGTGTCACCAAGAGTCACCGGAGACTGCGCACAAAACAACATCCCAGGTTTATGTTATATACTCGGTGATCATAAAATAAGCTGACTGATCGATATACAGTTTCCAATTTGACAAATGTCAGAAACTACAACTTAATCTAATGAAACGTTTCATACGCGCGCAAATATATAGCTATCATATAAATTATGTCAAAACTGCTATTATATATATCCAGAAAAAATGTAACCTATAAAATTAAGAGAAATAAAATATCAATGAGACAGCGACTAACTTTGTACAAATTTCCGATGTTTCAATGTAAAACCTATCCTTGCTTATTGACAGCGGCGTATGTAAATCTTATGTAAATCTTAACGAATAAGTTAAATTAAAGCTCAAGAAGTTGCAAAATGTACAATGAAATCGATCCTCAAATTGACAAAGTGTTGCTCTTGTTAGTCATTTTCTTGGATATTTATCACAATGATCGAATTTGCATGAATTGTAAACATCTTTCCATAAGCCGATATAACAAAGTCGGCATTAAATTTTTACAAATACGAATTAAAGTATCCTCGAATATATGCAAATCTAACACCTGACATGAAACAAGATAACAATATATACAGATTGCTTAACATAAATTTAGGTATAACATTTCCCTTTTACGCTCATGTGCTCTTATCTATCTAATGACATTGTGTGAATTTCTATGTACTTTGCTGTACTTTGCGAAGTACTGCAAATATATTGTTATTGTCGCGTAAATTTACTTTCATAAACAATTCATAAACTGCAAAGTATCAACTGCTGTATTAACGACAGACCTATAACTTTCAGATTATACATAACTTGCGCACACGTGAATTTGCAAACTAAGACATGCACGATGGTCTATTGGTCCACAAACATATCGTTTACTGTCTGATACATCTTAACCACTGAAAACTTATGAAATCTTATGACAAATATATTAAAATGTGTCCAAGTCAACATGTTTCATTAGAAAAGAAGTTCGTATTTGGAAGAACAATAAACACGCGGACGAATTATAAAATGAGAAATTATAGCCGGATTTTTCCTTGTATAATATCGTTGTAAAGTTCATCTGTCATCCTGACGTAGGTGTTCTTGTCGAGAAAATAAACCGGATCTTTAATCTGAAAAAATTATTGTAATCAGAGCGATCTATCGCGTTGCTATCTAAAAAGAAAAGAAACAAAATAGAGAGAAAAAACTTGCCTTTTTTATATCGAATGCATCCTGTTGGAGATCTCTCTTTTTCAGCTTGAACGTACCTATGCAAAATAGATTATACCGTTATAGACATTCCAACTCGGCTATGGCGCATTGAGAAACCAATAGAAATTTCTTATTACCGGTCATCGATAATTCCGACAGGACACGAATGAAAAGTGGTCTGGCATAGGTAGGCAAAGATTTCTTTAATCCCTCTACCAACTCTTTGAGGTCCAAGGAATTGTTCGGGTCGTATATAGCTGCCATTCCTGCTTTACCCTCGTTGCCTGGTACCTAATTGCATGACAGTAGACTTTTATTACATTTTCGCTAACTCATATATTTTTGATCACATATACGTGACGTATAATACGTGATAACGATTCGTTTATATAAATTCTAAAACAAATATTCTAATTGGACCAAACTAGGAACGATAATTTGCATTATCAGAATTTCGATATTTTGGCTCGATATTTTGGTTAGGCTTAAAAGCCTAATCTATATCTGTAATCTGTAATTAACATAATCGCCATTTACCTCGACACCGTACACAGCTGCGTCTTTAAGTCCTATTACATTGCTGACAATAGCCTCCACCTCCGAAGTAGCAACATTTTCACCTCGCCACCTAATGTTTCCATTTTGAAAATAATATAATATGATTAGTCGAGCCAATCTCGATTTATGCTAAAAAGATTTACAACTTGACGATTTTCAATTGAGCCTCCTAGTCTCAAAGAATCAATTATTTAACATTTGTACTCTTCGCTCTATGGATATATTATATCCAAATCTTGTAAGATCAGTAAAATCAGTAAGATAATATGTACGTGCCTAAATGTATCGCCGGTCCTATCCTTGAAATAAAAGTATCCATATTCGTCCATGATCAAAATGTCACCTGTTCAAAGAGTTAAAACGTGATGTGAATAATGCTCATGGTATCATACGCATAAACTAATCTCTGTTTCATTGTACATTTTTACCGACCAGAATTGAAAACACGATCACCCTTCTTGAAAACGTTATGTATGATCTTCTGCTCAGATGCCTTTTTGTCCGCATAGCCGCTAAAGTCGTTTATGGCTTTCTTCGGGTTAATCTTGCCAACAAAAACGCCAGGCTCACCTGCACAAGTACATTCGCTATAATTCTACTAAATAATTTAACTAACAAAATTATGCTTCTTTTATTAGTATGGCGCAAGCTGTCGAGATTAAATACGACGAGAATTGTCTCTGGAGAATATTACGTCCGTCGCGCCGTTTATCCTCAACTTGAATTTTCGGTGATGCGTACCAGGTTTGCACGGTATACAGAATCCGTCGGATCCCCTCAACGGCTCTCCAGTCTCGTCGTCGATCCTCAACAATCCGACAGGATATAACACACTTGCATATCTGGGCACGAAACCAACGGCGCCAACTGTGTTGTCAATATTGACTGCAAGTTGAACAAATTCTTCCATGAGTCTTCCATGAGAAAACGACAACACTTAATAATCATAAAACGTTAAAGATTATATAAACGTTAAAGATATAATAATAATCATATAAACGTCAAAAAAGGAGACATATTATACCTATTATTGATAAACACGCAAACTCAAATTCTATACAACGTGCTCGTTAGCGAAATGAAATTAATCGAAAGAATATGCAAATTACCGAGATTGGAGTTTCCCTCAGTGGCTCCGTAGAACTCGCCTATTTGTTTCACGCCGAATCTTTTTACGAAAGTCTCCCAAATTTGCGGTCTCAAGCCATTTCCGAACATTAAGCGTATTTTATGCGTTTTGTCGTACTGACCAGGAGGAACCGTGAGAAGAAAACGGCAGATTTCTCCGATGTATTGCGCTACCTATAATAAGAATGATTCCATAAAATGTAAGAACATTGAAACTTTCCGTGAAAAGTAAATAATTATATATGAGTTCCATGCTTTACAACGTTTCGGAGACATATAAATACAAAGGACTACAAATATTCGGTAATTCAATCCTAACCGGTGTAAAAAAAAAAAAGCAATAGTAAAAGGATTAATTTTTACATAATCATAAATTTCTCACGCAAAAATGCACCAAGAATGTAGAATAAAATGTTTCTTTCTTTTTTTCTTTTACACAACCTCACATCAAAGAAATCAATTTGAGAGATCTTACGATATTTGAGATATATTATTACGATTTTAGTTATAATGATTGATAAAACATACAGTGATATACAGAACGAAGAGTTTCTACGTTGATTCAAATAGCACGTGACTATGCGGTAAATTATCATAACTGTATCTTAAAACTCTAAATTGGTTATTCTTCAAAACTGACACCTTTAAGGAAGGGGAAAACTTTATATTCTTTCTACATTTTCGTCTTATTTGCGCATGACAAATCATCCGCTTTTACAATTGTATCACAACTACTACTAATTTCTGAATAACAGATATAGACGTCGCCTGTTATCAATTTTTCTCTGAGAAACGAAAATATATATAATAATTTAGAAGTTCAGAAATTTATACCAGAATAAAAATATTTCTTTGATAGGCAATATGCCGTACAGGGAGATTTTTAAATGATTATTTCTTCCATGAAAAATTGTGTTTTCTTAATCATCCTAAGTGTTGCGCAAATAGTGACATGATGAATCTTACGGTGCAGTCATAATGGACGCAATCTACCCAAAACTTGGATGCACTGAACCGTCTACGGAGCACGACGGTGACACCCCCCATCAGTGCTTGTCCTGCTCCGATTATGCCACCTGCGGTATGATAAAGAGGCAGAGGATCGTAAATTCGATCGTCCGAACGTAGATTAAGCATTGCGTTCACGCCGCATGTGATTAACATGTACCTGAAAACGGAAAAACAGCAGGCGCCTGCTATAATTGGTTTCCTTCGTGTGAACGATTCAAGGAGGTGCATTATGAGCGAATGAAATTGCGCTTATTTATTTTTTATAGTAACTATGAAAATAATTTTAAACTTTTACTTTACAGCAAATAAAATAAAATAAACGCGGTACCAGCAAGTTCGCGCGTATCAAACGCAGATACGGATTAACGCGGATACTTTTTTTCTTTCAAGAGGATCAAAGTGTAATCTAATTCGTGTCGAAGCGTATCTTATCGAACAAAGTACAACTTTAATATCTTCAGATACGAATGTAAACACATTACAAGATAAAAATATAAGTGCAAACACGCAAATATAAAAATTGAATATAAATTTAGAAAAAAATTAGTTTCCCTTTAAGTATATTTGTCATGACGTAACAAAATTACAATTATTTTTCTTATCCTCAATTGATATTTTATTTTTAGAAAACTCTTTTCGCATTTTAGAAAACTGCTGCCATCCAAAACGCCCAATTTTTCTTATAAGGCTACACACTTTGATGTGTCATTTGCGACCGGCACTACGATAATTACGCATCTCATTTCCATGCAAAACTCTTATCGCATGTTACGAAATTAAACGTGTGCTACTACAAATAGAAAGTCAATCAAAGTGCAAATATATACATGTCGAACTACATTTATTTACCATATCATTAATCGCACAGCCTCCAGTTGGACTTTGAAACAATCGATGGAAATCGGTGTGAAATTCGACCGCAATAATTGATGCGGCGACAAATGAAACCGTGGAAGCTCACCTCAAATTATTGATAACGGCGGCCTTTGGCATTCCCGTCGTACCGGACGTGTAGATATAAATCAATTTGTCCCGGGGGCTGCCAATGTCAAGTTCGACAACGAGGGGTCCGGAATCGATGCTGCTGATTTCCGTGTTGAGATCGATCGCCCCTTCCAAAAGGGGGGTGCCCGCCAGCTCCGACCATTGGTAAAGCTCGATGTCGGGGATTTTATTCCTGATGTCGCGAATTGCTGCACACGACATACCTCGATTACGATCGCGGCGTAAACGAGTTTCAATTTTTCCGCGATTCAGTATAGAGAGCCCATTAGAAAGCTGCACTTGTCAGAGAAAGTCTTACAATCGCGACAGTCGACACGACGAAGGGTAAAAGTGCAAACGTCGCTTTTCCGCAACGCAACGCTTTCCGCAAACGCATACGCGATGAAGAGATCAGTCAATATCATTGATAATAAATTTCTATCAAACCACGGTTCTCACAATGGCGAAGTTGCGCATTTACAAACGCTGTACCACCTACGTTAACAGCCGACATCAATGAAAAATTGCCGAGCGATCGTTAGAAAACCGAGAATCGAATCCCACTCGTTACTTTGCTACAAAGCACGATGATAACCTTCATGCAGGAAACACGAGACCGTGATCATCGTATCGTGTGACAATTGTCCAAGCTGTCATTGTAGAAATTATAGTCAGAGGCTCTTGCACTGTGTTTCACATTCAAACGTCTCTCCAGCGTGACATATGCGCTGCGATATAATCCTTCATATATCGGTAACAAACGGTGACACGGGACGCGTGTCTCCCTTTAAATCGATGAAATCGATTACGTAAAACGGCCGACAAGACTTCCGGCATCCGGAGAGACTCTTGCGTGCAGCTTACAATGTCAACGTGTGTCAACGAACGTCGACAGGACAAATCGATGTAGTCTTACCATCTGTAAGTTCGGAGCCGAAGATGACGGCTTTGCAGCCGGCAGCGTTGATGCTGTGAAGCAACGTTTCCTGCCGAAGATTCGTGTTGACCAAAGCCGCGACGAAGCCGGCCTTACTAAGACCCAGCCAGGTACCGACGTACTCCGGACGACCCTCCATGACCAGAGCTATACTGTCATTGCGCGAAAATGCCCTCGTGCGGAAGTAACGTCCTATACGATTGCTGAATTGCTCCAACTGTGTGCCATGCGAACGTAAAAGATGATTATGCATGCTCAATATCGCAACATCACAGCCAATGTCGTTAGCAACAGCCAACGAGCCTAGCTATCTCAAAAAATATGTGGATGGAAAATATACACATATTCATAAAAACAGAATGTCATACTTCTTTGGAAAGTATAAGTAAAGCGTATAGTATAAGTATAAGGAAAGCGTATAATAAAAAAAAAATGCAAATTTTAATCACAATTTATGCGTGTGTATTCAAAGCACTTGTTGACCGGCATCGTTGCTTTTAGAGTTTATTTTATTTTTTTAATTTTCAAAGAGATCATTTATATTAGTAATCTTCTTCCTCGTTTAGTTTTAATCAATGCATAAAAATATATCGTGGTCATAATTTCATTATTCTCAGTTAACTGAGTTCAGTGGGATACGCCTTGACTACCATCGATTATCGATGCAAATGTTAACCGATGTAAATTCATGAGCGATATAAATTCATGTGTATTCATGTGAAGGACTTATTCTATACATATAGAAATTACCTCTTTATATTTCCATTCCTTATCTTCGAAAATGTAAGCGACTTTTTCCGGATTAGCTGTTGCGTACTGCGAGAACACTCTCGCGACGGTATATTCACGCTTCTCCCACCACCAAAGTTGTATATTAACTCGAAAAAATCGGTACGCGCCTCTACACATAAAATGAAAGATGCAGAATTAATTTAAATTCACCATTTATTAAAACATCTCCTTATACTAATCTAGATAATTAATTTACAAAAGTGTGGCTTTAACATCCGGTTCGACCGATAAGTATATGAATCGAATCGTACGCTTGATTGAAGTTTCCTCAGTTTGATCTTTCACAATATTTAAGTCTGGCATTGTAGAAAATTTTGCATTTAATAATAAAATTAGGAAGAATTCTTCGTCATTATTTGAAATGTTTCAAAAGCCAGAAGATCAGATAAGTTTCATACTTCACACATATATTTTTATTAAAGTTACGAAAGTTAGTATACATTACATAATTCGACTTTCTCGATTGTGTTTTTACTATAAGAAGGAAAGATTGAAGAAAAAAGCTTTCGAATAGGAAGAAATGACAACACATGTTTTCTAAATTGGTAATACATCGTCCGCTTGGTTCCCTCACGTAATGTCCTTTTCTCTCACAATCAATTGGTTAATATCGCCACACGACACGCGCGTGATGTGTGTCACGCGAACGCAGCTGCTCTATTATTGCTCACCTAACACCTGGCAAAATGCGACATTATGAGGATAAAAAATATGATTTCGCCGTCGTGGCATGTTTGGATGACATAATCCAGCACGGTTTATTCTTCATTTCTTTAATTTCATCCTCGGAGGGTCCGTTCAGGAAGACTCTATTAAACTGCTACCAAACCTGTTCGTGGAGCTAACAGCGCGATAGTGATAGCAAAGCATAACTGCCTTAGGATTGCTGCGTTATACCGCGCGTTTCTGCAAAATTGGACACTTCTTCAATTTTAACATGTCGAAGATTTATTTAAACACAATTAAAATAATAGATACGACCGACATTGTATCGGTATTGACAATCATGTGCAACAACAGATGTGAAGTTCACAACGTTTTGAGTGCACACAGAACTTCCAAACAAAAATTACAGCTAACGCTACTAACGATTCTATGACTACGAAATGCTACGATTTTGGAAAGAACAGTACTGATAACGAGATAAAATAAAATTATATAACGCGTATGCGTCACAAGCACGCATTTAACGATAACGAGTTTGTTAGCGCTATTGTTTAGCTCTGGACAAACTATTACATATCATTAAAGAACGCTAATAGCATCTTCCTTAACACAAAGAAAAGGGAAAATCCTACATATTCGTAATCTTATCAATCCAAGGTTTATAGATACTGCTAATTAAGATAATAAATATTTTTCTTATTACCAACTTAAATAATGATCATAAGAGCCATCATGTCCTGCACTGCTAATATTTATTTCAACAAATTTTTACAATAAATTTACTGTAGTCCTGTTGGAAACTGCAGTAGATATGTCACATACACTACTACAGGGCAAAGAGGACATTTGTTCTTCGAGTCACGATAGGATCAACACTGCATAGAGGGCAAGCGTCGATGATTATCTGCTCGAATTAAGCATTACATAATTAATAAGAGACAAGTGAGGATGATGCGACAACTGAAGGAAAAATTACTATGACCATGTGTCAACTTTTCATCGATTTTATCGTCATCGCTTCATTATTACATCATAATGTAAGATTTACGTATAGCACACATAAAATGTATCGCGTAATAATTATTTATTTGACAAATTTGTATAATTATTTATGTAAAAATAATGACCTTTTTTACTTTGAATAGATAATCAAAGCTCCAAAAAATGTTTTTAACATTCTTGTGGCTGTCTGCAAAAAAATAATGTGTGTGAGTGTGTGTGTCTGGCAAAAGTTCCAGAACAGCAAATTATTTCAGAAGGTATTGGTTTAAAGAGCGTTCAAAACAAAAGTAAGATTTCAAAAAATCTATTAGATGTTGTTCACTCTAATTTATGTATATAATTGTATATATGTGTATATACATATATGTACACATATATACACATATATATTGTTGTTTTACCGATATGTTCAATATATTAAATACTATATAGAACTTCCTGCAACTATCACATAATAAAAAAGAGAAACAAAATTTAACATACATAAAGATGCATAATGTACAACAGAATAATTAAAGATAATTACAAATAATTAAAATTAATTACAGATAAACAGTGTGAATTAAAGAAATTAGAAAACGTATCGCCTAGCAATGCACCCACTCGTGAAAAGCTGACTCATGAATTTTTAATAATCGCTACCGGAGTACTCTATATCGATGAGATTATCAACTTTAAACTGCTGCATGTGTGCTGCACGTTTTATTTCGATGAGTTTTATTCTTATGCGTGAGTTCGGTGACACGTCGGGCGACACACACAAAGTAATATCTACAAAGATAAACTGGTGCAAGTGACTCGAGGAAAACGACATAACTGAGTTAGTTAAATGCACGTACGACATCTATCGGTTTCACTTTATCCCATTGTAATCATTGTTCATAAAAGTTTCTATGACGACGTTGTCGGCAGCACATTCCTATAGCTGCAGCATTCCTCAATCGCATACATATAAACAAGCTCCATAGTATACAACTAGAAGAGAAATAAAGACTAAATGAAGATCGCGTGACCGTCCTGACTATTTACGTCCGTTTCAAAGTTCATAAAAAAAAACATGCAGTATTCTTTTACCGGCGAATATACAGATCATACGATCAGAAAACAATTGCTATTATCACCACAAAGTGCATTGAAAATATAATTAATGCACGTTGGTGCACATTGTATTAGCAACGAAGACTTCGACTCCAAGTGTTGGTAGTGACATAATCAAAGATCATAATCTGAAACATTGACATCTGACATTGCCGATATTCTAACACGGTATCTTTATGTAATTTAAACATGAACAAGATTTTCATACAGTCGTTCATATAACTCTTTCTTCTAATTCGTGTACTCGGCCAATTAAATCTAATAATCTACAAAATAATCTACGAACATTCCATTCTCTATGATACATGATCGATATGATGATCCTCTTGATTACTCTTGTTATCACTACGGATAAAACGCATATATGCGCAAACTGTCAACTTTCGTAACGCGATCTTTGTACCAGTTGATACGTAATATTCCACACGACCGGCGTATTGTAGATATACGTTACTGGAAATGAAGCAATTCGATATTAGTTATTCCATATGCCACGTTAGTATAGCGTACCCAATAATTTTCTGTTATTAAATACGAAAGCTCGTCTTTTCAAAAAATGTATGCTATATTTATGCAAAAGATAACTGGTGACTGAGCAACTCTGTGTAACAAAATAAGATATAAAAGACAAACTCAGAACGCTGCTTACACTATTGCACAATATTTTACTTCGTCATATTTTCGTTCTTTTATTTATATTTCTCTACTTGTATTTCGTTTCTTCATTAATTCACATTTGTTGTTTTATTATTCATATATCTAATAAATAAATACAGTATATTCTTACGTTTGTAAGTCTGACTACACAAGATTTTTTGTCGAACCATAATCATCTCAATAATTGTTTAATTATTTACATTTCATTGTTTGCAAAGTACTGTCTGACTTGCGACAAAAGGTCGAAACGACATAATTGAGGCTCCCATTTGAGTTATACGAACACTTTGATTTCCGTGCGCGTGGTGTCGTCGTACGAGAAATACCCGTGGTACTTGTTGCATACGTGCATACTTGCGCATAGAGCATACAATAGCGGTATAATATTTCAATCAATTACCGATTTTGACGGCTGTGTTAAAATCAACAACAATAACTGCCAAGCAATACATAACATGTTTGCTCGGCGTGTTGTTTTCTTCTAAGAAATCAAAGTCGTAAAGGGGCACAAAACATATTATATCATAAATATACGTCACATCAGCAAAACTAATATTTAATCTCATTGTAATACAGGATATAAATAGAAAATATATTGCCTTTTTTCAAATAACAAAATATATATTATGTGAACGTATATAAATCCCTAAAATCGATCGTAAAATTAAATATGTCAAGTGTTCTCTCTTTCTCTCTTGTTCTAATAATTCATTCAAAATTCATTCAATATTCATAATTCTAATAATTCATTCATAATTCATTCAAATTTCAAAATGAGTAGTAATTATCAAATTTATCGTTTGAACATTACCCGCTTTATTAGAATAAAGACTACAATATTTCCTTATCAGTTCTAAAGAAAACACGATATATTCGACTTAGATAGTAACAGTTAGTGGAACGGACGACTGTGGCTATCTTTAAAGTTAAAAATAATTTCGAGTTAATTTCTTGTATTTAAGAAAACACAAAGCCTCGCAAAATTAAATAATGCGCAATATTTTGTTGCGTATAAAAACTATATCTGCAAAAAGTAAAAATTATATATACGTATAGAAAAAATGAAAAGCGATGATAATTATACGTAATTTGTTAAAGGAACTTAATATACGAGTTATTAATAATTTGACCGATAGTTCAGACAGTTGTGAAACAGTCAACATGACAAATTGAATCACGACGTATAATGTTTGTTACAATAAGAAAGTATAGTATGATAAAAAGAATAAAAGGAGATACGAAGAGGAGCCTAGCGCGCTCTCCCATCTTTCATGCGCGCTGCATTCCAACGTCAAACGAAGCATTGAAGCAAATACGACGAGCAATCATACGTCCCGGGCACTGAACGCAAATTATTAATCCATAACATAAACCGAAGCACGGAAACCTGTTCCTGCAAGCCACTTAAAAGTGGCTGCATGCCACGAAGTACTTTAAACGGTGTCTATATCGATACGTTTCTTCTTCGCTTCGCTCACGATAAATAAGTCGCAGAAATTACTGTAGTAAAATGAAAGGATATTTTACGGACAAGATCGAGTATCTAATCGAATGTTCATAATGTTAAATCTTAAGTGTTAATCATGATGCTAACATTAAGCCTGATTAAATAGAAACATCGTAAGTATTCGTGATCATTTATCACGTCACTTTATCCAGCGATAAGCGTATCTGCGTAACGAACGTCGACAGCCAATTCGGAGCAGCCGAACATGAAGCTTCGGAGCATGAAGCGGGACTCTTATCATCGTCTGCTCGTACTCAGAAAATTAAATTTCATGTGCAGGAAATTACGAGAGAGGTGAAACCAGGTGAAGACAACGGTACTCTCGGCGGCTACGTGTTTTACGCATCCTCCCAGTATTCCTCGTTCTGTTAGTATATATTATTCGGGCGGTCTAATATTTCCACTAGCGGCACCGCGAGACACTGACCCGAGTTCATTTCACGAACATCTGTCTACCTGCTTAGACCTGGGACACCCCATTCTTATCCCTTCCCGCTTGCGCGTTCTCACATTCATTTGTACTCACAAAATATCTCTAGGCAGCGTTTTGTAGAGCATGTAAATGAAGCGTCGCCGACTTCCGGTAAGGAGAAAGCCGCCGAGCAGCAGGCTCAGCGCTGTGATGACGACCTGATGAAACTCTATCATTGTTATTTAATTCCTGTAGTGCTGTCTCGTTCTACGACTCGAGATTAATTAACGGCGTGCCCGTAACGGATCCAGAAATGGCGCCAGCTAGTCGACGGTCGGTCTTTCTCTGTCTCTCTCTCTCTCTCTCTATATATATATATATATCTCTATCTCTCTCTCTCTCTCTTTGTCTGTCTTTCAATCGCGTCAAGTCGGAAACGCCGCCAGCCGTGATAACACCGCGAGCGTCGACTGCTAAGCCCAAAAACTGCCAAGTGCACATGCGGACGCTATCGCACAACTGAAACGGGACTCAAGCACGGCTTCAACATGTACCGCTCTCCCTGTCTGTCGACGACCACCACATAAGCAGGCCAGTAAAGCGTAGGTACTCGGTCATCGGTACTCGCACTGGCGTAGCCAGTCTCTACGAAACTGCTCCGAGCTGGACGAAGTGATAGAGCACGCTGCCATAAACACATTAGCCTTGCGCACTACACACTGAAGACACATGCGCACTCCTATGAAAATCAAGTCTCTCGATAGTACCTCTGAAAATGGAAAAGATGTGAACACACACACACACTCGATGCCGCACTGTGCGAATATATCGCGGATCCTTCTTCGGTAATCCTTCGATCGAATGTGAGCGTATAAATTTATTTATATTTCACGACAGCAGCAGATACGACAAATTTTAATATAAATTTTAATAAATTTAACCGTGAAACCGCGCGAAACTGCACTTTCAGTCACTCGATATTTCACACAGTCGTGCTCCTCACATGATATAATTCAAATCAAAAGGTGAAAATATCGTATACAATTGTATGCGCCAGCGATATGTAGTTCTCACTGATAATCGCTTAGTTTAGAGTCAGTTAAGGTTAGACGATCGTTGAGTGACGCCAAAATTGGCGAAACACTAATGGGTGTGGACAAGTCGTTGGGGAAAGCATCTAATGGCTACGCGAAAATGAATGGCAAAGACGAGGAACGAAGTGCCAAAAATGTTTTCGTGTAAACGATGCTCGCGCGGATGGTAATACTCGGCGATCTATGAGAAAAAGTAATTGGGATCTGCTCATTGCAGTCCACACACGTGTGTTTGCGCACATGCTGATGCGTCGGCGCGAATACGTCACCACGAATCAATGGCGTAGACAGTGTTAATGTTGATCGAGCCGGCTACTTTGAACGGACGAACTTTGATTCGTCTCGCACGGTCTCATTGCAATTTGTAGGTCACTATATACTATATGAAACTAGTCATGTATAATATCGCCCTGATACATCGACAACGCGATCGCTTTTCATTGCGAAATTGCGAGCTTTTAATGAATCGCATTGACCAATCAGGTATTTTTATATCCATCTTCGCCGTGCTAGATAGCTTGAAGTTTTTCTCCACGTGCATTACGTTTGCAAACCTTGTTAGTTGTATATCAGTTCCTTCCACGTTCGATTGAAATTTAACAGATATCTCAATAATATCTACATATAATAGCAATATCTACATATAATAATAAATAGAGGACGTTTACTTTGATTGAAACTTCGTTTGAAAGTTATTTGTACCGAGTACAAATCGAATTTGATGCTTGAACATAAACAGACAATTCTTTCGAATATTTTCGAGGACATAGTAAACGATGACTCATGCGTGATGGCATAAACTTTAAATTTAATGTCCGTATCGACTTTATGGAGAATTTGAAGAAACGGAAACCAATTTATCAGGTTTTAACTTACTATTGTAGGATATTTTAATTTATTAATATTCTACTTTTATATTTCATATTCGCTTATACGTTATACTTTGTATTGTACCAGTTTCAATTTGTAAACAGGATCGGGCAAACGCTCTCTGTGTGTGATATGACTGTCGAGCCGATAATAGTTATTGCTCAAGCGTTCGTTTCGTGCGTTTCGTTTATATCTTTATGTTTAACCTATCGACACGGGAAAAATCTGCTAGTCGTTGGAAGGTCGATACACGGATCGAACAAAATAGCGAGACGTTCTTGAACGAGTAGACCGTTGCGAGATTGCTTGACGAGACAGTTCATCACGATCCGAAATCTTATATTATATATTCTTATAATTTACTACACTATTTTAGTTAATTTTGTTTAGTTTTAGTCAACCGACGCTGCGCTTAGCCAGCGCGTTAAAACACCGTTAAATCATATAGTCTTTTGTTACACACGTTTCTCGACAGTTGCACTTTGCACGATACATTGTGAGAATAATTTTATTTTATTGTGTTGACAAAAAAACATCAGGACTATTTATTGATACGTAAGTATAATTTGCAATTTTCTTTGTTTTTACAACAACCTGAAATAAAATATGTAACGATCAATGAAACATGTTTTGACAATTCCTAACCTCAGAATATTCACAACAATTTTCGATTATATACCGTATTATACTGTAGATATTATTTATTTTGAAAAACTACTTTGTACAGTCCTGGCATGTTTGCACCGTTTCATAATTTGATACTTTCGAAGGTAATTGAAATATGAAAATTTATGCATATTCAGAGAATGCCTCCGAAACGATAAAAAAATAATATATATATATATATATGTACATAAACAGTACTGCTACAATAGAATTTAGTTAATCCAGTTTTTCATACATTTTGAGCCCTCTTATATCTGGAAATATATCTGGAAAGTTGTAAAAGTTCTCACGATTTTGATATATAGGTCTGAACAAGAGATGAGATCTAAACAAAAATAATAGAAGATATATTTATACAGACTTACAGTTATATATGTATAATACGTATAATAGGTCCACAGGAAGAAGATATAAATGTACAAGATGTGTGTAGACAGTGTGTGACGGTCCCTCGGTCAAACTTTATGTTCGGCTATATTTCACGATAATGGATGCTGGAAGAGAAGAAAAAGATTTACTGCACATCTTTAACATTTGAGTATGATAATTACGTAATAAAAATAAATAAAAATAAAATGTAACATAAAGAAATGAGTGAAAGCAAAAAGTGAATATGCATAAATTGGAATTGCAAATTCAAACTATTAAGTGCCGCATGATATAGTAGAAAAGCTGAGTACTGAGAATTTTAGATGCATGTTTCTTTTTTGTTGTTTCTGAACATAAAGTCGTTATTATGCGGTCAAAGGGAATGTTATATACCTTAATCTCAACGATCAAGACTCCAAATATCGCGCTCGCTATCTGAGAACCAAGTAGAGCACCATGATGTCCAGAACTGGAAATGACACGCGATAATCTAACTAGCAACTTTAAAAACTGATCGACTTAGCATCGATTTTACTCGGAAGTGGATGAATAAAAGCGTTATAGGCTGAAGAATGGAAGTCCTCCGCAAGAGATAGCTGAATCAAAAAGAATCAATTGAAATTGATACCGCAGAGCCGAATATCTATCAATTATTTTTAATTTACAATCTTCTCGCAAAGGTCCTTAATATGTATATATATATATACGTTCTTCCATCTCTAAGTACAGAATAGCATCGATCATGCTAACCCGTAATTACATGATGCAAAATGTTATATTGTTATTCACAAACGATGCGAAACGAAAAGAGAAACCAAGCACGAAGGTGCATTTATGTACGTTTAGTGAGAAAAGGGAGAGAAAGTCACAAAGCCGCCCAAAAATAAGGAGAAAATGAAAGAATCAAGAGAGATGAAATATGAAATATTATGTCGTAATGAAATGCCATGCTGTTACCGTTCTGTTACTAGTAATGTCAATGCATCATTCCTTACCAATAATGAAAAGCACGATCGTCACGGTGACACTGACAATGATGATCCTTGATTTCACATTCTGTAACCACGCTTTCCGTTGCGCTCGCCTCGCGGTTTCCCTGAATTCGTTTCCAGCCATGTTCAAACGATCGCTTGCCTCTTGTAGATCCTCCAGTCTCTCGCCACGATCCATTACCTTCTGAACATTATCCCTCATCACATCCGTCACTTCTTGAATTTGTAGCCTGACACTTTAAAAACGCCGACACTTATCAACCATTTATACATTTGATGTGTATAACTATGTAATAAATGTTACATTTTGATTTAAAAAGATAAATATAAATGATGATAAAGTGTACGCATATGTATACACATGCATATTTAAAGATAATAACTACTTCCGATCACTTCACTCTATATTCGGACCAATATTTTAACCAAAATACATCTTTTCCTCCTATGTACTTTCTTATACTAACTTGAAATTAGAAATACAAAATAGAACGTCACTTACCAATCCATTTTATTGTCGATCTTCTCATCTCCATTCGAAGTACTCGGCCGACTGCAATTGAATATCACATATTAACGTAACCAAAGTGATTAAATTGGCTTGCGTCTTATATAATAATATAATGAATAATTTATATTAATATGTTAAACAGAAATAAAAAGGAATAAAATAATTTATATAAAATATCAACGGGCATATATATAATAACAATTTTACGTATCTCATCGAACAATTATCCTAAGCATCTTATTAAACAAAAATTTCTTGTGCACTTTCTTTACAAATATTTACAAAAGACATTTTTACATTTTTGTAAAAGATTTGAGTGAACAAATGACGACAAATTAGATATTTTATCTTACCTGAACAACATGTCTTCATCGAGATCGCTGTCGTGTTCTAATAGCGTCTCCTACGAAACGATAATTCAAATGTAAATCAAATTTCGCGCTGACAATGACGTCATCTTCAAAGTGTTGCGCATTCTTTATACATGCCAACACGATAGGTCGGAAAGTACTCACTTTTTCATCTTTATCCGCTGTTCTAATGTCCTCCTTAGACAAACTGCGTTTACCAGGCATCAGCATTTTTTTAGGAGAATGCAGCCGCTTGCTGCTCACAGACTGCGATCGTTTAATTTACACGCGTAGGTAATTTCGTTCACTGATCAGAGCAAACCGTGCACAAATGTTCAGCCATTTTAACAGAAACCGTCCTGTTTTATCGACTCCGTGGCAGCTATAACCAGGCAGTATCTGAACCGTAGATCAATATAGCAGAGGGCAGTATCATTGTAGGATACTTTGCACACGTAAGAACGAAAATGAAATAATTTCAAGTTAATAAATGTATTGTTTATACGCGTTGACGCTATAATAATTTATTTCGAAACGCTTCGGGATGCAAGTAATTGTTGTAAAAATTTGACTCTTATATTATGTGTTAATATGTATATACGTATATGTATATACGTATATGTCTATACAAAGTATACAAATAAATGCTAATACAAATTTTTTTACGCTGGATGCAACTAGTAATATTCAATATGTCAATATGTGTAAATATATGTCAGCAATAGTATCATTTGTACCTATACTTTTGTATTTTATAAAAAGCAAAAGAACTTAAGCGCATCAGCCAATTCTTTTTCTGTAATGCGATGAGATATATCTTTTAATATAATATAATTATATACGCGATATGTTTAGAAAACGAAGTAAAATTGTACGCCTTACAAAAATAACACTGCATTATCTCGCATATTGCTTTTATTTCACATAAACATTTAGATTCGATTACATATACATAGTATAGCACGAACGATAAAAAAATAATTTGATTGTCATGGATGCGCAGGGGTTTGTTAAGAAAAAGTAACATCGAAGTACAAGTCGAGGTATTTCATAAATTTCGTATATTAGTATCAAAATAATTGGGAATATGTAACTGCGATATAAACTGGGATATAATAAACAATAATGTACACATAAAACCGTGCGATATCTGTGCGCTCATTATTATTATTTATAAGTAAATATTTAGAAATTACTTTTCTTTCTCTCTCTCTCTCTCTCTCTCTCTCTCTCTCTCTCTCTCCTAATTGATAGAATTTACAAGTACCTGAATGAAGTTACATAATTATTATAATCTCTCACGCAACATAACTACGAGGGCAGTCTGAAAAGTACTCGGCCTAACAATGAAAGAAAATTTTTTTGCCGTGAAAAATGTTTTATTTTTCAATATAATTTCCTGAAACTTCAATACATTTATTCCAAAGTCTTTCCAATAATTCAATACCATCATTAAAGTGTGATTCCGGAAGGTTCTTTTCGCTCTGGTGCATAGTGGTGGATTCAAGTTTCGTCAACAGTTATGAAACGACGCTTGAAATCAATTTTATTTTGCTTAAAACGATTAAAACGTGTCAAACACGCTTGAGAAATACGCATTCGAATGGATTTTTGGTCAATTGTTAACAAATGCGGTACCCATCTTGCACAAAGCTCTTTCAACTAGTGCTACTACTCGAATGACTTGACAGATCGAATAAAATTTTACATTGGGTTTATATCAGGGATGCCACTTTCCAATACAATTATAGTTTGACAGTTTCTAATGCCATGTATGTGTCAGGTCAGGAGAACTTTTCAGACTGCCTACGTATATAATTTCGTTGGTGTGTATTAGATACTTCATAACATAAATATCAAAAAATTTTACATAAATCGTAAATGTGAACAGATCAATCTGTCAAACCTTCCGTGTCTTTTCTGACCGTTGAAGTACTTGAATCTTACATGGCAGCCGTTTATCTGTCTATGATCATTAATATGTTTTCTAATTTACGTTATTTATTAATGTAACACGCAGTTTTGTCTTGAATTTTGCGTTTGATAATTAATCCTGACAAATACATAGATTAATGTTGCTATAAATTACACAGTAGTATCAAATGTACCGTGAAAGTTAAAGTGGAAATAAAAATAGAAATATTTTGCCATCATTGGCGAATTATAAAAATATAACGTTTCCCCCGTGCACATAGACACACACACGAAATAGAAATATTCTTATACAGTAAAAATCTATGTCTTATAGATGACAGATCACGACATAGGTGAAGAACGAGCATATACATATAATATTTGTATATATATATATATATATTTATATATATATATTTATAAAAATAGATCAGATTTGGGGAGATATCTATGACGCTGAGGTACGTTTACAATTGTAGTTTCGTGAAATGACGAATGATACGTGTTTTGATATTATTACCGACTTACATTAGTCCGTTACTCACTCATGGCTCTTCGTAGAAGATTGATATCGATTTTTTGCAGGATTGCGCTGACATTGTTTCAAATTTAACCGGATATTGAAAACTGACTTTCGTTCTTGCGTCAGAGTATAAACCGCTGCAACCGAGTTTCCGTCTCTCAACGCATACAGTATCAAAAAGTGCACTGCGTACGGATAGTTTCCCATTTGCAAGGTTAATCCATTCTCCGCAACTGCCGACTGACAGCCAAGTCGAAAACGAAAATACAGAGTAAATCGTACAAACCTTTACGTTATATTGCAATACTTGAAAAAGTCTTCGTAGAATTCTTTTAATTTTGCAGCAAATAAAGAAAAATATGTAAAATCTTTCTTAAAATGAGAACGGAGTTTCAATTTCAATAAACTTAAAGTATTGTTAGAAAAATTATTCTTATCTTCATTTTAAATACTTTTACGTAACCACGTGAAATTAATTATGACGTTTAATTATAATTTCGTGTTTGAGTATACTGTTTGGGTATACTGTGTATATATATACATATATATATATATATATATATATATATATATATATACTCATCTGGTAAACGTCCCATGCTTACTTTACCTCGCACGAATTTTATTCGCGTAACTTTCAGAATGCATTATCTTTGCAAACCAGCGACTACCTGTGTAGGCGTCTCTATGAATGCGCGACACACGCAGTCCCAGAAAACCATAGTGATCTACGGAAGAAGGAAGACATATGCGACAGAGATAGAAGAACATCTAAATCCGAAGCTGAAGCCATGCATCTCCATTTCGTCACTACACCTGCACATATATCAGGCTGTGACTATCTTCAAACATGTCCGGATCGTGGGGAAGGATTCTCGATAAAAACACCCACATATGTACACACATTTATATATATGTATGTATATATGCATATATATGTGAATATGTATATACAGGGTGTCTTATAACAAATCTGGCAGAGCTCGTGGAGACATAGAGCGAGTTAAGACGAATATAAAAGTCCCATACCGTTTTGTGAGATTCGCAATAATTATCGAGTTATTAATGACAGAAATCTGAGGGATGAGCGCGCGTCAAAACGTTATGGGAGGAGCATCTAGCCGCTCAGGTTAGAGAGCACTGCCCAGCAGTGATGCATATTAGGGACCTCAGCTGGCCCAGTCGACAAAGGAACTGTTGCCGGCGCGCGGCGAGACGAAGGACAACGCACCAATGTTCATGTCCTTACCTCGCCGCTCCTACATCCCGCCGCACAGCGTCTAAGCTCGCGCCGATATGGCCGTTGAATATTCGCGATTACAATTACGAGATTATTTTATAAGGTAGCACAGATAGCTCATATTGAATTGTAAATTGTAAAGTTCAAGGTTCAAAAGTTCTTCGATCAAGGAAAACATTGAAAAGTAAAAAGCGATAGAGAGCGATGAGATCTAGAGAGATTCTCATTGTTTTCTATCGCAATCTATCGTTTTGCTGCATCGGATCCGAAAGAAATGATATCGCGTAAAGATAGAATACGATGAACACTTTTCATCGTATTCTATTGTACTCTATCGTTAGGAGAATATTTAATTGTCAGAGTAGAATTCGCGTAGAGACTCATCGTGTCCTATCGTTTTATTCAAGTCTACACGGAAAATATGTTTGGTTGAATGAACCAATTTTCTGACGAAATGAGAGAGAGAAAGAGAGAACGATTAAGAAATTTTGATTGAGAATAGCACAATTTTGTTTAAGTTAACCATTAACCTTGATAAATTAGATTGAGTGTTAATATTTCTCTGTATCGTTCATATTTCATTTGCAAGTTGTATCATATGGACCAAACATTTTTACCATGTATCACGCATAAATTGTTGTCTTATATCGTAATTCTTATCAGTGGTATATTAACGACAGAAGAAACTGAAAGTTCTGTATCGTACAATTGCGAAAAAAGGACCATCGTTGTCAATGGTGTACCAACGATACTCGGCATAATATTGATTCCTAGGTACAATAGGACACGATGAGTCTCTACGCGAATTCTATCATACTCTGACAATTAAATATTCTCCTAACGATAGAGTACAATAGAATACGATGAAAAGTGTTCATCGTACTTTATTTTTACGCGATATCATTTCTTTCGGATCCGATGCAGCAAAATGATAGATTGCGATAGAAAACAATGAGAATCCCTGTAGATCTCATCGCTCTCTATCGCTTTTTTCTTTTCGATGTTTTCCTTGATCAAAGAACTTTTGAACCTTAAACTTTACAATTTACAATTCAATATGAGCTATCTGTGGTACCTCATAAAATAATCTCGTAATTATAAACGCGAATATTCGGCCGCCATATTGGCGCGAGCTTAGACGCGGTGCGGCGGGATGTAGGAGCGGCGAGGTAAAGACATGAACATTGGTGCGTTGTCCTTCGTCTCGCCGCGCGCCGGCAACAGTTCCTTTGTCGACTAGACAACGCTCTCTAGCCTGAGCGGCTAAATGCTCCTCCCATAACGTCTCGGTGCGCGCTCATTCCTCAGATTTTTGTCATTAATAACTTGATAATTATTGCGAATTTCACAAAACGGTATGGGACTTTTATGTTTGTCTTAACCCGCTCTATGTCTTCACGAGCTCTGCCAGATTTGTTATAAGACACCCTGTATATACATATAACCCGATATGTGTACATCGTTATAATGTATGACTCCTCAATACGCATCGCATTATCGCAGCGCGGCAGATACCGCGCCCCTATCTCGAGATAATGTTGCGCTGGCAATAATCATGACGTCTATATACGTATATTTAGGTATGTCCTCGTCGGAAACACCTCGGTCTCCGTACGTCTCCATACGTCTCTTTAGGCCGCGTCTACTTGAACGCATTGTTTTCTGTCAACAAGCGTGGCGAATGATAGAAATGATGTTTGTCTACGTCTCAAGACGAGGATGAGAAGCAGTACATTAAGAGGCCGACATTGACATGTGACGGGGAAATATTCCGAATCCGCAAATTCGCAACTTAAGTAAAATTATCTGTGAAGGAAATATGCAATATATAAATTTTCAATTCAATTTCCAAACTTTCGATTCTCAATTGCAATCAAAAAAGTAATTTTGATAATTATTTCGTACAAGGAAGCCAGCTCCAATCGTTTTATTCTTGAGATATGTTGTCAAGGACGTCGCTCAAAATACCCTTCTTCAGCAGATCTTAGTCGACACTTATTATTATTAAAAGTTATTATTAACCAAAAAAAATGTTAATAATTATTCAGTTTAGGGGAGTCAGCTACAATGACTTTGACTTCAATTTTGACATATGTTATTAAGACCATCTCATTGAGTAACCTTTAAAATGATTTAGCAATCACTAATTGTTTATTGAAAAGTTATAAATAAAAAAATTCCTTCTCTCGCGCAGCTACATGTACTATTTCACATACGCACATTCATTTTCCATAAACACCCTACTATCTAATTTTTAATATATATAGTATATAGTATTGAAAAATTATATCATATTTACGAAACTTTTTTCGTTTATAACTTTTTAATAAACAATCAGAGACAGATAAAACCTTTTAAAAATTACTCGGTAACATGACTTCAACAACATATGTCAAAGTCAAGGTCATTGGAGCTAAACTAAATAGTTATCAAAACTATTTTAATAATATTTTGATAAATAGTAAGTGTCAATTAAAACATTTTAAAGGGTATTCTGGATAATGTCCTTGACAATATATTTCAAATGCAAAGTGATTGGAGTGATTGAATCCCTTGTACGAAGTAATTATTCTAATTTTAAAGACGCAGTCGGCCTTCGTATTGTCACGCTATATATCTTAATATATAAACTCGTATATATTCAAGAAATATCTTTTATAAAAATATATATGTGTGTTACATGTTTTTAATACATGTGAAAGAAATATCTACTACTCAACTGCATTATCGAGTAATTAAAAACAGAAAATAAATTCTTTGGACAAAGGTGTAAATAATACATATTAAGAAATTGGAATTCGCAGTTTGGGAATGCAGCTTTAAAGTGAGTCGTAAATGATGAAAGGTTTTGAATAAAACATATCAGAAAGATGGAAGCATCGGCCACATTCTTTCAACTCGAGCTCGAAATAAAAGGATATTTTAAATATTATATCGTTGTGTTGCTCTCGCATAAAGAATCGATTTTTAAAAGTAATAGGAATTTATCATTATCCTTCGTTTCATATTTAAATAATTTTGTTTCTTATCAGCAAAAAGAATAGAATAGAATAGAATAAAGTAGAAAAAAATTTATTTATTATGCTCTACAATATCCTATTGGCATAATATACAAGTAAATAAAAAAAACAGCAAACAGCATCGTGCAAAAATACGATATAAAAAGGAAAAAAATAAACATACATTATGTAGAAGGAAGAAAATGAAATGCATATATCGAAAAAATAAACACAGATTTGTTAGTGGGGAAGATGAAGTGAAAGATAGTAAACGAAATATATGTTAATGAAGTGAAATATAAATGATATATAATAAGGGCGGAAGTCTTTTTCATATTTTATTGAAAAATATTGGATGACTGAAGAGATGAAGCAAAGAAAAGCAATGTATATGCATTTTATAAGATAGTAACAAAAATATAGTTTCATTTAATATATTCGTCAAGATTCTATAAGTAATATTTAATTTTGTCAGTACTCGCGAGAATATCATGAAGGAAGTTGATAATTATTAGAACAAACGTTCATCTAATTGACTTTGAGTAATTTATCTTCGATTCGCTTTTATATAACAAGTAAAATATGTACGTAATATTAAATTGAATATTTATATAATTATGTAATGTATTGAAATCAGTTCTGTATGTTACTACGCCATAATCGAAAACTCATGGCGATTAAAATAATTAAAAAAGAAATTGTTTATTATCACAGAAAAATCTATTATAAATAAGTGAATAATGCGTGCAATTAAACATCATTGAACTGTATACATTTGTTTCTTCATGCCGCCAATTCATAACTACAACTGATTGGACCAAGAAGAATCTCAGCCGGAATTGACAATAAATTTCTACGGGAAACGACTTTAGTATAATATACGACAAAACAGTAATAATCAGTGTAATTTATGCACAAACATTTTCGTGTGCCTCTTAGCTCGGTCCAAATATCGGTCCAATTAAAAAGCTTAATTGCGACCGACGGCAACCTGCATTAGAACAATGACAAAGTACAGGCATATCGGAGATATGTTGAACGAGCAATGTTCCAACTTTAGTTAACCAACTTCAGTTAACTATACATATCTAAGTCACAGCCGTAGCTGCATTATGCATATCAATTCTTATACGCAAATAGGGAATGAAAATTTAGATAATTAATAGATTAGAAGATAATGCAGCAGGAATGTTAAGCATAACCTTCAATACACACACACACACACACACACACACGCACACGCACACGCACACGCACACGCACACGCACACGCACACGCACACGCACACGCACATACACACGCACATACACACGCACACACACATTGTTTCACTAAATACGTTGCCATCGACGGGTATTACATCGAATTCTACAACATGTCACGTATATCATAAGCTCATCGTAGTAATCATAGGCTTTATAAAATGAAAAAGAACGACCAGCGTCTTAATCTACGACATATTCTGCGTCTGGTGATCCAACGGAATAGCCAAGGAGCGTATTTGAATCGAAGTGACTCAATTAGTGTAACATAAGTCAATATTCATAATCCGTCATTATTTCACAGGTATTGATGAATCTCATGATATGTAACTTTATGAATCTCTGATTGTTCGCCAGTTCTGTAAGCAAAAACCGACATAATGGCCTGAAAATAGATGAAATTATGCTTTCCTAGAGTACACAATATATCTTTGAGAGCTCTGAAATATTGTAATTTCACACGTGTGTTCAAAAGGTTATTATATCAATTTGTGTATTTATTTCATGCAAGGTATATTACTGCAAACAGCCTATGAATACGAATTTGCAAACAATTATGCTTCCAAACAAAAAATGCAAATCATTTATGAATATAAATACTGACCTTATATAGAGGGTGGAGAGGTATCGTACGCTAAGTATCGCGCGATCGCATTAAGATGCTGTCGACGACGAAGTTTGCTCATTTCCTTTTCGGCTTATTTACATATTTGATTATGACGAGCGGTAGTATGCCGCGAGAATATTTCTTTTCACAACAGATTTACCTTACGACATGTTGAAACGTTTATGTATCCCCGATCGAAAAAGATCATATTTAATTATAAAAATCATATATAATAAATAAATAATATATAAATAATATATATATATATATCTTATATGAAATATATATGATGTACTATATAATATATATGGATTATATATAATTGTATATAAATTATATATAATTATATGTATGATCGATACATGAATTTCGTCTCTAACATGGTCAAGTGTATAATATAAAATTATATTCGTGTGTCCACACTCTAAGAGAACCATTGTAAAATGAAAAAAAAAAAAAGAGAAACGTTTCTATTCAATTATACGTCTACATAAAACAGACGACCATAAACATAAAGTTACTTTAATTGTATGTGAACGACAGATTCCTTTTTCTTGTAGACGTATATAATTTTATATAATTATACTGCCATATGGAGACAAAAGTCATATAGAATTAATTTTCGTCGGGTCTATTTTTATCGTCATAAAACGCCGATATCACGGCCACACTCGGTCAGACGTCACATCGTGATCAGGGCGCAGAAGTTCGTAAGGTTTCACGGTGGATTTTTCCACGTCCACCGTCGATGGCAATTTCCGCGCCCTAATCGTAATTCTCAGTGCCAATTTACGTCGACTATTCCGAGACATTCGTGTGCAAACAACAGTAAATAACCAAGAATATTCGACAATTAAATACTCAAGAATTTCGATGTACCTTGTGATCGGCTAAATAGTCTTCGAAGAAGTATCGCTCATGTTTAAAAGCGAAAAACTCTATTCTTTCACACCTCACCTTGTTTATTATCGCGATCCAAGATATTCAACGAACGATGACACGATATTACGTAAGGAACATCCGCGATACCTACTCGATCGTCATTGATCAATTGCACGCATTACGCCGGAACCACGTCGGTGCGTTCACATTTACCGAATATCCGCCGAATGGCGGAAATTTCGATGCGTGTTGTACTCGATCTGGCGAACCTTTACGATGATTACTCAAATACGGTGTGCATAGTGTTGCCTGTAATTAATGTAACGCAAACATGCTGCAATAATTTCACGCGTAACAAAGCATCTCGACATAACGGGATTGCTGATGTTTTCGTGGTATCGCGTTACTCGAATGACCGCTCGGATGATTAATCGATCGAAGCTTCATTCACTAATTAACATTATCGATTAGTTGTTTTCCACAGAGCGAATAAATACTGCACCGAGCGTCGGCATTTGTCTTTTAATCTCGCCGGTTATGCGAGTGAAATTTGTCCCGGCTTGGGCGAATATTCGGCCAACCGATCGCGCCCGCCCGAAGCCGGCTTTATTCGCAAAACGCAATTATCGAAGAACCGTGGAGTAACGCGTGGGACTCGGCGCACGTGCTACTCATTAGGCTTTAATAAATAATCAAATCGCTGCATTGCAGACAGAGACGACGCACGAGATTTATCTGCGCCGTCACTCGTCTCGCGCCCAAACAGACGACTCACCTGTGTGTGACGATCGTTAATCTTAAGTTCTAATTTCAAGTTCGCAGACGCACGTGCTCGGATATACGCACACGCGCGCACGTGTCTTAAACGTGCATAGGTCTTAACCGCATGATCACGACGGCGTATGTCAGCCATCCAGCTCGTGACTTATTTTTACCTGCGTTTCTCGAACTCTATGTGGCCCCACGTACGAGGAGAGAAGACGACGTAGAAACGCGGGCGACAGCAAAGGGCGAAAGCGCCTGTTGGTGCGAAACTGTTTTCATTCTTTAATCAAGCGCATTCACCTGTAGCCTTCTTCTCATCGTGGAGCACTTTCAGGGGATACGCTTATCGGACGCGTTTTACACGGGAAGAGGCTTAGAGACTTTAACTTATAATTTGCTAAATCCGCCTGCGGGACTTTGCCTGCCTTTGTCTGCGCGGCTTGGCCTGCGGCTTTGTCCACCGTAGGAAGTAACATTAGAGAAAGAAAATTCACCGTAGCATCGCCGACCATTTGGTGCGCCCACAACAGTAAAAATGATAATATAATCACACGATCATGTCTTCGTTACAGCGAGAGAACTATTTCTTCTCTTACAAGCAAGCTATCGATAATCGAACGGAATTTTCCTGCTAGAAAATATGATGCTCTTGAGTCAACAGCTATACAGTTTGCCTCGCAATCGTCGCGTTCGATCTTCTTCGCATAACGTATAAAGAATGAGGAAGAAATATATTTTGCTCTCTCGTGTCTCTTATCGCACGATTTAACGATACTCGGTTAGTGAAGCCGGAAAGAAAGCCCGAGTCGAAATGTTGGCTCGATTTTCGGTTGGCTCAACTGTCTAACGTTTACAGATTCTGGAGAACCACTGGAAATTTTATTTATATAAGAACAAAAAAAGTCTTACGCAACGCCTCCGAATGGCAAGAAACACACATTTTGTCATTCTTACGCGAGCCTCTCGGCAAGATTGTAGATTAAATGCCATCAGAATACGTTGATATTGACTCCAGAGTATTAAATTAGCGTTAGACGGAATATTGAGGTCAAAAGCAGAATGAAAATTTCAACTCTTGAACTTTCAGATGAGCGAGCGCTTCGAATCTCCGCACGCGAATTATCGCTCCGTTGCGCGATGAAGATACATCGGATAACGCGTTACGGACACCCGCTAGCGGCAAAATGAAGATCTGGGAGGGACGCGTCGCGAACATGAAACACGTAGGTAGTAACAACGGCTCCTTATCGAGAGGAATGGATGCGTGATCAGTTACGGAGCTCGTAAAATCGTTACGGCCGCGGCTGGAAAAGTGTCGGCCACACGTTATACCTCGGCCCTCCGTAACAACCGCGCCAGATGATGAAACATGGAAATGTCATGCAGCTCGTGGCGAGACGTCGTTTACCTTTCCCCATCTCGATCACCAGCTGGTGACTTGTGACGACTCGTGGGAGAAACGATCGTCAACCGTAAAACGAGACTCTCGTCGTATATTCCTTGCCGCGCCGCCGCTTTCCACCACGTTGCGATCCCCTTTTTACAGCACATGCAGGTTTTCGCAGCTCTTGCTCTTGCTGTCGTTCAAACACATCTTATTGAGGATCTCCCTGGCCAGGTTCAGGCTCAGCACGGTCTTGCTGTTGTGCAGTCTCGACAGCAGCTTACCCTTGCTGCCCTGGCGTCGAAGCTTCTTGTCGCGGGTCTCCCTCAGTCGAATTTGCTTCAAAATCCCGACCAGGAGCTCATCTACGTTGTGTTGAATCCCGCTGGACGTCTCGATAAACTTGCACTCGTGCGACGTAGCCAAGTGTTTGCCCTCTTTAACAGCGTACAGATCGAAGCTCGGTATTAATTGACTAAATCACGCGTCGAAACACTAATGAGAAAGCTGGCAGCTAGATTCTATTCAGTCGCTTGCGAAATGCTCTTGCCTACGGCCTAAATTTCAGCGGATCAAAGCAACGATCATGCAACAAGTGTAAAAGTATAATGTGTTCGTGTATGCTTTCTAGTAAATCTCTCGGAGTGAAATCTCCGTCAAAACATGTAAAGACTTGCTCTAAGCGGTAATGAAAATACTGCCGCTGCGGAATTACAAGAGTAGACGTTTCACTGAGACTTAGAGCGAGTTCTTAGATCATACAAATAAATACCTTAATAGATTAAGCTGATGAATCTATTTCAGAGTACGTCAGATTCACTTTTCAATTTTGAGTGATGTTCATTTGACGATTTAAAATTAAAGTGGAAGGATTCCACTCTATATGAGTGAAAAATTACTCGACTTCGAGTGACTTGATTAGTATTCTACTTTTGGAGTGGAATTTCACTCTCAAAACAATTTAGAGAGAATACTTATTATTTTTATGCTCCGAATTTGAAGATTCTGCGAAAGGCGCGTAAGAATTACTTATTACTAGAAGCTAAACCTTTCGTGTTTATATTCATGGTCCGCTGACACAGCAAGGAGATAAAGGAGAGGAATAAAGTGATGAGAATAAAGTGACAGGTACACATAAATAATAGAAATACATCGCGTATCATGTAGTTAGTTTATGTATGTCATGTAGTTAGTTATTCACGATATTTCCTCACCATTTGCCGAAATTATCCGGCTTCTGGCGAGGTCAGACTTGTTGGCGACCACGATGACCGATCGTTCCTGAGTGTAATGTTCTCTCCACAAATAGTTTAGTATCTCCTCGGCCATTTGAAAGCTCGTACGCGAAACAATCGAATAAACCACGATGCAGGCGTGCGGCTCGTACGTCGACAAGGAGTTTTCCACCTGAGAAATTGTCGAAGGGAATTTTTATTCGCGTCTCTCGTATTAGACGCATAGATTTACGGAATATGCGATTGTGTGTATTAAAATTGCAACGAATTCTTTTTATTATTGAATCACGAAGAAAATATGTTTCCTGTCTCAGCTGGAAGAAAATCGTTTATAATACTAGCTTTTATGACAAGTTTTACCGTTAGACAATTTATGCACATTCGTAATACGATGCAACAGTTTGTTTGAAACATTCGCGGTTACATTGAAGAACGTGAAAATACGTATATACATTGCGTTTCATAAATTTGATAACGTATTCATCTCCCCGACGATTTTTCGCGCGGAAAATATGAAGAGTCGGAGGCTTTAAAGTCCGACCAAGTTCAAGCTACGGCGTGTGTACCAGAGTTTATAGAAAAATTGTGCTATACAAGTTGCGATACTTCGTAAGCACGAAGGTAATCTCGAAGGCAAAGTGTCCAGCGAGAGAAGTTGCCTAACTTTAATAACATTGCGGTTGTTATTGTTCTCTTTATCGGCTAAACCCAGCCGCGGGATAAATTCAACATAATCTGGAACTCTCGTATGTTCCAGTCATGCGTGATTTAAAGTTTGTACAACAATGTTTTACGCCTCTTGAGTAATGAAAAGTGTCTTTGAACTGCTGTTGAAAGTTCTTCATCGATATCGCCGTTCATAATTGTTCGTATTTTCCTCTTCTCTTTTTTATATTATTTTTTTCATCAAAAAGTGAGGAACCACACATAATACGTAAACACTAGTAACTCTGCAGTCGCGACATTAAAGTTACGACTCGTGCCAACGCGTTTACGTCTTGCTACACGAAATACGCATTATCGCACGCTGAGCAGACGCAGACAGCTCGAGGAATCCTGCGGCGGTAGATTGAGAAAGTCAATTGAATGTACGCTGAAAGCGTCCAAGTACTGTTCTGGAGAGATTTTGCTCAAAACTCGCTCCTACGAGAACAAACTTCGCGATGAAGCCGTTTGCTAGGTACAACTCGATATAAATACATACACGTATCTTTAAGCACCGACTCGTTATTATTAAATTATTTCGATAAGGCACATCCGCTCATTTGACGTTGCTACGTGAAAAGAGCAACAGAGTAATTAGCGTAAAAACATAAAACCGTATAAACGCAGAAATACATATAATTATTTCCACTAACAGTTTTCGTTAATTACATATCTGTAGGTTGTATGATAAATTTCTGCGCATTCAACCCACTCCTGCCTCTTTATATTTGTAAGAGAAACATGTCATTTCGCTCATTTAATGGGTTCACGATAATTAATAACAATATAATGCATACGCAGATTACAAAACACTCGTGGCTAATGCCACAGAGAGATTTATAATATGACCTTCTTGAAATTCCATAACGACGTAGGACCGTAAATTTCCATTCCTGGAAATATCTTCCGTCATATATGCCGCGTTTAATGCTACACATTACAAAGGTTCATTGTTAAGACGAACGAGATTAACGTTCAACAAGATTATACGAAATCTCAACGTCCAGCAATTACCGGGGATAGTTGCCACCCCCTCGCTCTCACCCCCGGAACAATTCCTGAGCTCTTCCTTTGTGTCAAATCTCCGGCAATCTCTTTCGTGTGTTTCTCTGAGCAATCCGGCTGGGAGCCGTCACATACTTTAAATTACCACCTCCTCAATTCTCCGTCCCTCGATTTTGATCCGGCCACTTTCAACGGTATTTAATCCTGTCGTACAATTATCACGCAACAAATTGATTTCGTTATCGTGATGATATAAAGAATAATTAAAAAATCCCGCCACGACAGAGTGGATAGTAATGTCCACCAGAGCGTGACTAACACGAAGAAATATTACGTCTTTAACCTGAAACTTTGCGGACTCAAATAAAGCGTTCTGGAGAAACATGTTACAACGAGAACCACGAGAGTAAAGTGAAGTTGTACTGGCCAGAACAATTTAATGCGAGAATAAAAAATTTCTGAAACGAAAGACGCATTGCAGACCCCTCATTTACGTTAAACGCAGTGAGGTCATTATTAATCGTGTAAAACCATCGTAGAAGCGAAATTACGATGAGTATTTTATAACATTAATAATAGCAACTTCACGTGTATTGCACTTGGAAGATCGATCGAGCGCAAAAGTCAAAACATCAAATTAAACAGCGAGTACAGAACGTTCTGTCTCTCTATCTCTCTCTTTGGTACTATATTCTTCAATTACGCGATAGCAATTAATTAAATTGCGCCGTTAATACGAATTCTAGAAATGACCATATCGCAAGAATCGCGAGGGAGATAATCGGATACGACGATATTATTAATCACCCCGGGCGGAAAGAATTTTATCGAGCGATAAGCCGATGCGTTCTCATAACGGGCATATGCATGATAAAAGCATTAAATATCACCACGGGGCCTTTCGTTCATTCGCATTTATAAACGAATTCATGCACGCTGGCCAATCTCTATACAACGTATCGACTCGCGATGAAAATATTTTGTGTCGCACAAAGGAAAGAAGGCTTGGGACACGAGCTGCCGCTTAAGCTGACGCTGCTATAATTATGAACCGACAATCGATGTTTATTTAAAATTGAAATTACGCGAAATATACAATGCTATGTAGCGTCCTTAGGTGCCATATAAGATTAGCTGTATACAAGTTAAGATAGCTATATTGGTTATATAATAAGCTATATGAGACTAACTAAGCTTACGAGGCTGACACGGATTCCTGCGTTTTACTTTGCATAAAGATTCATCGATAGATTGAAACGTAAGTCGAGTAAAACGAAACTTTTCTACTCGTGTATCGTGATTTATAAAAAGACATGGATTGTAACAAGACGATTTATAAAAAGAGGGAAAAAGAGATCGATTTACAGAAAAGCGTTCTTGCTCGTACAAAGGAAAATATGTTCCAACGTTTGTTATAAAAGCACTTTATCATAAAGATATATATACAGAGAGTGTCTGACGCAAGCCGTACCAACGCTCGTGTGCAGGTATATTGGGTCAAACTGAGCAAAAATTTTCTTTAATATTTTGCGAACAACCACGTAAAATTTCGAGTTATGAATTCGCGAAAATTAGCGAATGATCGTGCACAATGCGGCAAATGAGCTGCAGATATTAACGCATTACCACACATGATCACTGTAACCTTCTTTGATTGATATCTAAAAATCTATTGGGTATTAAACTTAATTTTAAAGGATTTTTTTTTGTGAAAATGAATGTTTATTTCGAAACAAAATGATAAGTACATGTTATTCGAAGTATTGTCCATCGTTAGCTACAACTTTTTCCCATCTTTCTAGTAAAAGACGGATTCCTCGGCGAAAGAACGACTTGTCTTTTGTGGTTATCCATGAATCCAAGCCATTTTTTGATATCTTCTAAAGAACTGAAGTGCTGGACAGAAAGGTGATTCTGCATGGATCGAAATGCAAGTGGAAATCAGAAGGAGCAATGTCTGGTGAATACGGCGGGTGGGGTAGAACATTCCATCCGAGCAACTCCGGTTTAGCGACATGTGGCCGAGCGTTGTCATGCTGGAAAATCACTTTGTCGTGTCTTTTGGTATTCTGATCGTTTTTCCCATCGACCTCAAACATTTAAAGACGGCCATCTTGGTTACATTTAATGCTTTTGCCAATTCTTCAAGCGTTTGACATTGATCTTCGTCCAGCAATGCCTTCAACTCTTCGTCTTTAAACTTTTTCGGTTGACCAGGGCGTTCCTTGCCTTCCAAATAAAAATCTCCACTTTTGAATCGTCTAAACCAGTACTCACAAGTTGAGATCGATGGAGCATAATCCCCCACAAGCTTCAGACAGCAAACGAAGACTTTCAGCTGCCGATTTTTTCCAATGGAAACAAAAAAGTTGCGCTTCCCGCAAATTGCGTTTCGTTGGCATAAAGCTCGACATATTGAATGCGCTAAAAAAATATGTTATTTACACTTTGACCAAATGAAATATATTGATTCTTAAAGCCTGATGATAGGGCTTTCGTATAAAGTTGGCTTCAGTATGGGCCGATGCTATTACATGCTCATTGCGCCATCTCTTGTAAATCCTTTAAAATTAAGTTTAATACCCAATATATTGTGATTCACAACAATTATTTGTAAACTGGTATAGAACTTTCTTGTCCAGACCTAATTAGTATACGCGACAGCAGAAACCGCTATCATCACAATTATCACATAATCACCAATCATAATATCATTCACCAATCTCCTTCAATAAATAATTCAAAACTGTGGTTATTCGCAAAATGGTAGAGAAACTTTTTATTCACTTTGACCTAATCTACGTATATACGATCGCCGGTACAGTTTGCGTGGGACAACCGTGTATGACAGTACTTACACTCATTTCGACGTGAGGATGATCAATAAATACCATTTCCGACTCCTCGCCATCCAACAAGATAGAGACGGTCTTCTCGCCGAACTCGTCGTCTGTAACATGAAGGCAAAGGTCTATGCTGAATGTTGAGCCGTGAATATTCATGCCTGCTACTTATGCCAAAGATCACACGAAAAACTTCATTCGCGTTTATAACTGATTTTTCATTACGTGCAAACTTCTATTAATATGCGCTATTAAATATCTAAATTAAATAATGAGCGCGCATTTATAAACACACGTATTTACATTATGTTATATGGATTTATGCGTTTCGTAAATTTTTACGAATCAATTACAAGCTGCGCCGCACGATCAAAAATATCACGGATGAGATATGCTACACAGAGAATATAATAAAAATTGGAAAAAATTTGGAGTCACGTCTTATTTTTCTCAGCAAGACACGGATTAGACTGCTGACAGGAATAATTAAAAGACATAGTAACCTCTTTAGATAGAACATCTTTTCAAGTCAAGAGACATCTTTTCACAGTCAGCATGACAGACACGGACGTAGGGAATGTTTGGATAATGAGGAGGCATCGCTTCATCTTCTACGTAACTATGAGACATACGTGACACACAGAATTTGGTACTTTTGATGGGAAAAAACATCATTGGAGAAAGTGCACAAAATATCCTAGTAGCATCTTATTGACATCTTTGACGAGCTACAGCTATGCTAGCACTTATATTTGTATTGGGGAAAGCAAAATAAAAAAAGCCTTTTAGATTGCGGTATGTGAATTTTAGACTACTTCAAAGATTATTATTATCAAAGATAATTTAATAATTTATATTGTTAATTTACATCGTTAATTAACTATACCTTGCGAGTTTTCCCTCCTCTCACTCTCTCTCTTTTTCTTTCTCCCTTTCTCTCTGTTTCTATGCGTATTGATAATTAATGTCGCAACTAAAATATTGTCGTTATTTAATCGAAGCTATGCAGTTAATTATATCATTTAATAGTAAAATATTCTGATAAAAATGTAATACATTCGTGTGCTTTAAATCAATAAATTTTCCGTTATTCTTTAGATTTTCATATAACTCGGATATATTTTATTGTTGCGAATAAATGTGCGCACTTGCGATCGAACGGTTTTTTAAAAAAGTTTATTATAAAACTGGAAAGACTGTATTCAAGAGTCAGTTTTATTATTCCTCGCTTCGATAAAACGAATATTTATCTCTAATGTGGAGCATTAATTCTCGCGAAAAACAAGTTTGACAAAGAGAGACCTCATCGCAACTTCTAGTGGATCAATCATCGAGTCGGACTTTATTTCGCTTATTACTCGTAACACAATTTCGTCGAACTAATCATACACACAAGTCGTCAGTCTCGTAAAACTAAATGGCACTGAACTAAATACGAGAATTATTCCGAGAAAAATTTTAACGAATTTTTAAGTCACTTGTCAAATCTTGTTCCATCAAACGAAAGATCGTATATACCGCTCAGTAATGAGAAAATCTTTTTATACTCAGCGTGGGGTTTCCCCTCGTATAAGACATAATTATTCAATCATAAATATTGAAATAAGATATGTTGCGCGATAAAACTGATTATAAGTTTGAATAAACGAGCTGAGTTTCAAAAAGGAAGCCCGAACTCGGTATCGCTGATGCGTCGCGGAAACTCGGCGATTTGTCGCGCGCAAGTTTGGACATCATTAACGAGCTCAGGTTATGACCTACATCCGCGAACATATATTTACTACTTTCGATCGCGCATGAGAATCAACAAACTATTCCCATAATCCGGAACGTGACAGATTCTTGCAATAATAACGGACAACAGTAATATACGCCGAATAAACGCTCGCACGTGTTGCGAGTAATTTAAAACTCGCTCTCACACACTGTCCTGACACGTTTGTCGTGGAAAAATCAATTCCTCTCGAAATGATTTTGATCAAATCGCAAACGTTTGATGAATATATTTAAAAAGAAATCTCGCACAAACTTCTTCGGCGTAAAAGACAAGAGGCTTTAAAACGCTTCAAGAATAAACATGTGCGCTGGAGGATTCCTACAAACACATTCATCTTTATACGAAGCAATTCTCAATCATAAATTATATCCAATTGTACGCTCTCAAGATCGAAACATAAAGTAAAAATTCCTGCAGAAGAAGAAAAATGTCCGATCCTAAATAAAAACCACTCTTCTCGCCCGTCGTGTTTTCTATTTTCACAGATTTATTTCGCAGATGAATCAAAAACTACTACGAAACGATAAAAACAACAATATACTATGCGGAGCAAGCGGAAGGTAAATAAATGTTACAAAAACAATGTTTTGTGAAAACGATGCTTTTGTCATAAAACAAAAAGAATTCACTGCCGTGTTTTCGCGAGAGCGAAAAGCTTGCCTCATAGATTTTCAGTTCGTTAGGAACAGAGGAACGCATTATCGAGGTGGAATTTCGCACGATACGTCACAACGCCGTCATTTGTACATTAAAATCGTGTTCCATTCGGACGTTCGTCGTAACCATTCGTCGCGGACCATGACAAATTTTCTCCCGTTGAATAAGTACCCCGCTTCTTCCTTTCGCAGCATCTGCTTTTCTCGAGAAAGCGAATCCATCACTGCCCGCCGTCTCCCCCTCTTTTTCTTCTCCTTCAAGTGGCGATGAATTGAATTTATTTGTGATGGAATATCTATGGAATATCTCGAGTCTACAGCGGGAGATAAATGAACACGTGAACGAGAGAGAAAGAGAGAGAGAAAGAGAGGGAAATTTAATTTAGTAAAGATTTAATAAAGATTTCATAAGACTGTTTTAAGTGAAACGGTGAATACAAAATGAATATATAATTTCTACGAAGTTAATATGGTGAATTACAAGTATGACATTATATCTTGCTCAATCTTGATTTTAAAGACACAGTCTTCAAATATTTGAGAATCTCTCTCGACAAGATCGTGTCGATGCAAATGTAAAGAACATAAATTTATTATTTAGTTACATGGACGTCCAACGTTGTCAAACGTATGAAGGAAAAAGAAGACGACACGTTATACAAAAATCGCTTGCGCAATCTTCTTTAAATCACTTTAAAAGCTTAAAAGAAGTCTTAAGATCCCATTAAGCGCGTGAAATTAGCTCTTTAAATTAATAATCTCAATGTGTGCGTAGAAAACATAATGAGAAATTTCGAGAACTCGCAGGCACGAGCAGGTCATTAAAATAAAGTTATAATCAAATAAAAAATAAATCATTTTTCGTCGCGGATCCGCTTTAAAGCGACACAACAGATAGCTCAATACATAAAATCACATCGTTTTAGAATTTTCCATAAAAAATAGACTCGGCTTAAATAGAATTTGAGCTCTTTTCTTCACCGATGCAATTTGAAGCGCAACCAATGGTTAAATGAGAGAAATCGTTTTTAATTCCCAAAAGTTAAATTCTCTCATTAGACAGCGTAAATTCTCTCATTGCAGCGTAGCTGCGTTCTGAATTGCATAGAAAAAGAAAAGTTTCCGAACCGCTTTGAAACCGCTTGAATATACATACATCACGCGCTCTAGAAATGTATAACTTCAACTATGTTAAGGCTGTTACGCCAGTTCACGTACTCTCGTTTGCAGAATGGTTTTCACATATTTTTTCCAATGAAGTTAAAAGCGGTCATAATTGCGTGCCACTGTTCACCAGTTTGCGTGGTAATCGATTGTGGATGGCGTCGAAGTTACAGTACGTGTAAATATCATAAAGAGGATCGTTTCCTCTATTTTGAATAATCAATCAATGATAAATAAATACTGCGTACAATTAAAAAATCCTAATAACCTTGCTGCACTTGTAAAGTGTCAAGGCTCTTATTACGATCCGTCGCAAGCGGATAGAAGCGCGAGTAGATAAAGCGGAAGTGTATTACGCACAATTGGACGATGAATCGTGCAACGTGACACTTTCGAACGGGTCGACGAGACGTCACGGCGAGAGGTGAGGAGCGGAATCGGTGGATCGTCGTGAACCCGTCGCGCCGCGCCACGCCGCCAGTTTTTGCACGTGGCTCGTCGTGCACGTGTATGACCGTCCACGATTGCACGGAAGATATAGAATGAATACATGAAGCGAGACGGCGCACGTTTGAAAACCCGTCTCGAAGCGCCGCACAACGTGCTGCTGCTCCAGTAGCGATTGTGTGGAATCTGCACGCCCATCTCGCGAAGTGTACCTATGTTTCAAAGCTCTGCGACCAGCTGTGCGAGCAGCAAAAATGCAGACTAAACACAAAGTGGATTTTTCTCCGGCTCCTCTTCATTATTAACCTCTTCCCCTTTCCAGACCACTCGCTGAAGTGGGCGTAGCGGCGTGTTTGTGACGCGCAAACCCGCGACCGACCACTGTACTAAGTACCAAGTCTTTGAGCGGGCCCTCTAATGTGTGTTTTCTTAATTAGCTAATTAATTAAGTCAAAGAAAGATAATCAAACGGCAAAGACTCCGTTTGATCTGTGCTATTATTGCGCGACGAAGCCGCATGAAAAATTTATAAATCGTGCGTAGATATCCGAGGAACAAGATTTAGCGGATGATTACAGAGAAAAGAAGAAAGAGGAGACAAGATGAAAGCGCTTAAGCGGATTCCAGTCTCTCGCTCTTGCTCCGTCGAAAATCCCAATTTATTCTTAGGTTCTTTTTGTTAGGAAATATCACACAGAATTGAAATGTATTTTCATTAAAAATCCGCAATTGAAAATCCATTCAATTACCCCGAGACGTAAGTGTACCCGCATGGTACGCTCTACACGTCGAATGGCGTGAAGTAACTGAGAAAGTCAAATCTGACGAAAAATAACCGTGTAATTAATACGCGAAATAATTGATCTCAGTCAGTTAGTGACAAATGATTGCGAGCTTGTGCGAGTCTCATGGAAAACTGATGTAACATTGGTCGCCGTACAAGGGTGCACAGACTTACCTAGACTAGCGTCGTACGTGTTCATATATTCGCTTGTCATAAACTGCGAGACCAGAGCCGTCTTCCCCACTCCGGAATCTCCGAGTAAGACAACCCTGTATTTCGAAATCTCCTCGATGTCGCTTTCCGTGCTGGCGCCTTGTCCGCTGCAGCACGAGCCTTCGAACGGCGATCTCTCGCCCGATACATTGCTATTTCTGCGAACAGAACGGGGAAGCATTGAAAGATATCGAGAAGTTCACTAGTCAAAACCAGACGAAAGTATCCGACCCGAAGTATCAACACGAGGAAAACTGTAAATGTCAAGGAATGTTGCAGGAAGGAAAGCTACTTTCGTAATTAACATCCATACCATAAAAATACCGTACAAGGTACATTCGCGCTCCGAGTCGTAAATGTTCCTACAAACGGCACTTTACGGCGCTATTAATTCTGCTGTATGGAAAGCCATTTTTATATTTTTAAACGATCATATTTCGAGAATGTGGAGCATAAAGTCTCCCTTATGCAAGTCTTCGTCTTTGGACGGTATCCCGCTTGTCACATTATTTAAATTAATGCAGAATTACTCTCCTTGTCTCTATGTTGTGTCAAGAATATGCAAAACACATATTCGTTGGTATTCTCGTCTCGCTGTCTTTTCCCTTTATACCTTATGCAAATTCGTCCGCAGAAAGCCTTCGCAAATACTTAACGTAATCGCGTGAGCATTCTTTACAAATTAAACAATAATTAAAATTAAAACAATTTTTCATTTACGGTAATCCGTCTCGTGCTATTCCTTTTAATCTTCTGGAACTAATTAATATAAGCTGTTTCGTGTATTCCATCTGCTGCATATATTTAATATTGGACGATTTAATTATCTCGAATATTCACGACAACGACATGATATGGTTCAATGTATGTATAAATTATTTGTATCTCTATCTCCTTTAAATTGTTTTTTAGTATTATTCTCCTCGGCATTATTAACGTTGCAAAATTCGTTTGATCATACATTTATTAACATGTATCAAAATATTTGAAAATTGACCTTTCAAAAATTGATGAAAGCGTAATTAAAATATATATAAACGAGATGCACAGAGTAATAGTCAAAATAGAGAGGGAGAGAGAGAGAGAGAGAGAGAGAGAGAGAGAGAAATTCATCCCTATGACAAATTCTCAAACGTTGCACGTTACACCGTGCAAAGCATATGAAACGTATCGAATTCCGTTATTAGATACCGTAATATAATACATTCAGCATTCATTTGAATGATTGCACGATAAACCGTCAGCTTCGGATTAAGCCAACCGGTGTATGCATTTACGTACATATAACGGTTGCGTATAACGCCATTGTTAGTACAATGCCTCAACTTGAAGCCAGCCGCCGGCTTTGGCATGTTGTAATAATTATCGCATTTCAGTTACCTGTTTGTGTACGATATCAATACGGTGGATTTCGAGGTCCCTTAATGGCAAACAAGCTAAGCCAGCTTAGTTCTGATAAGTTCGTAGATTACGAATGTCAATCGTAATAAGCGAGCGCGCGGCTTCCCGAATTAAATCAAATTTTTAAAACAGCGCATTGATTCAACATGAGCTGTCGCGATACCCAAAGAGCGATGAAATTTTTCATCAGTGAGGAATTTTACGCGCAAACAACTATCGACGACGTATTACAGTATTTTGTATGTATCATGTTGTATGTGTGTGTGTGTGTGTATATGTGTATGCGGGTGCACACGTGTGTATCCTTATCGGCAAAATACTAAATGACAAAATAAAAATAGCGAAATGCAGAAAGCAGCGGGTGGGCTTATCAATGAATCGCTTGCTTGTTAAAATCGCGCGCATGTGCGTATTGCGTTCTACATATACAAGCTATCGATTAAAATCAGACAAAAGTACAGAAATAAAACCGTACCGATGTCTTACTCGCGAGTTTCCACGCGGACCTATTTTTAACGATATTACGTGTACGCCGGCCTACGATTGGAAAGAGGATAAAAATGGAAGCATTGGTAGATATCCGTTATCAGCGAAAAGACCGTCATTCTTCGTGCCGTTAGGCACGACGAAAAAGATGATTTGTTGTTTATCGGAATTACATGTTTCTGAAGTGTAACATAATCAACGTATAATATTAATGACACAATTTAATAGGATCACAGTCGCGTCGAATGTCACACATGTTCTCGAAAATATATTTATATGGGCGAAGAATGTCCCTCGCACGATAAAACGCGCAGTCGAGTATTTGCAAATACTCGCTTAATAAACCTACTCGTAAATTGTTCGGCACGCCGAAATTACATCTTGCTGCAACGCGCGTCCGATAAATCAAGCGCATACCTTCGAAATTCTGTCTCTGTACCGTATACAAAACATCATGAACAACGGTTAATTAAATTTCCACAATTTCTCTGCCACGATCCTGCCGAATTCCAATCTCCTGAAAGTAAAATGAAATAGACAAAAAAAGAGGCACTTTCGGATCCCTTATCGATCCCGTAAAAACGTTAAAATCCTCTCTGCGAATTTATTGCCCGACAAATGTACTTTCTTATTTTCAATTATCACATTGAGTCTGTGAGACCGCTTGACAGATTCACAAAAACGGGAAATCTTGCGGCTCTACGACGTATTTTCCGGCGATATCCAATTACGTGTGCAGACCAATCGGTAACTCTCCACGCGACACTTTAGGATAACAAGGAAAGTGACCTCCCTGTGTCTTTCTGCTTCGTTCCTGCCTGCCTATTTTTACTCGGCAAACGGATACGATATAATATTTCAAAGTCGCCCTCTTCTTGCCTGGTCTCGTCGCGCGAGACTGCCGTGACGCTCTGTTTTAACAATAAGAAGTCCTGCGGATTATCATTCTTCCTTCCTACCTTTTGTGAGAAGGAGGTTTAATGCTCATCGAGTCATCTCGTTGAAATGCTAAAATTAAAGTAACTCTTTAAAAGTAAAGTAAATCTTTGTCGAGCGAGCGTAACCTCAAGATCGCCCTTTCCTCTTATCCTCTATCCTGACCCCTTATCTTCATTCACCTCACGGTGCTAATCCTCCAGAACACTACTTCATCCGAATGACTCGTGGATTTGTCGAGAAATATTTTATTTCGGTACCATGAAGACTGACATCAAACAGGAATCCTTCGGATGTTGCCTCGGCGAAACAATCTTTTCCTCCGGCAAAGCCTATTTTCTCCTCACGGCTTCACACCATCGATGCCGTGGCATCATCCTGACAATATTGTTGATCCCTCCGAAGCCATAACTGACATTCTATTACTCGTATACAACAAGCTTTCCGAAGTCGATGTAATTCATCGCCGGCCGATATTATAAGACAGCGAAATTTGAATAAAATCCCCTTCGCGATAATACTTTTCCAAGTTCATGTCTACAATTCTTCTCGCTTTCTCTTATAAAGGATGCATGAACGCGCCGTTCAACGTGAAAAACAATCTGATGAACCTGCCAAAAAGCGACAAGCTTCAATGACTCGTGCGAGTTAACGCAAAATCGAAACTTTCCCATGCCATTTCGGCGAAGACAATGTTTTTCCCGGTGATTTCACACGAATGCACCCTCCATCGCGAGTATCGACAAAAGTCGAGGCTCGGACGATCTAATAGCGCGAAATATCTAATAGCACGGAGGGTAATGGCACGGAACTGCTCGCATTCAGCGAAACCCTCGATCAAGCCACGCAGGTAACGCGTCGACTCGGTCGTTCGCCGCAGCTGCGACATCAACTTTTCCTGCAATTAAATTTTAAGACCGGCCAAATACGTTAAATATCCTCGACGAACCCTTTGCCATAAACGCGACAAATGAGTCGGCAGAAAAGGCCGAATATTTCTAACGTTATGAGACTCTTCGTTGCTGCGGTGGAAATTTCTACATTATTAGAGGAGTCATCAAACATGTAGAAATGGAAGAAATACCGTATCTACGCACGCACAGCTATTAGGCTCTCGTTGGACCTTCTGTGCCTGTTTCATTCATCCGAAGAAATATCGCGTCGTTCAACTTTAACGAAGGGACGAGCGAATAAAAATGATACGTTACATATCTGAAGAAAAAATATATTTCTTCTATGGAATGAAGATGTTATATGTACGACACATCCAACATGTACCAGGTGCGCAACTAAGTCTCCGGGTTTTTTTGATCAATGAAAAATGGAAAATTTCAAGAGAAATACAAAAAATGGTTTATTCAAAGTATCGTCCCTCGCTAGCTACATATTTTTGCCATCTCTCTGGCAATACATGAATACCGCGACGATAAGACGACGCGTCTTTGGACCGAAACCATTCATCCAACCAATTTTGCACTTGTTCGAAATTGGCCAAGTGTTGCCCAGCCAAGCCATGCGCCATCGACCGGGACAAGTGATAATCGGAAGGGGCCAGGTCTGGCGAATACGGCGGGTGCGGTAGCAGATCCCATTTCAGCGTTTTCATGGTGTCCTGGACGATAGAAGTGCGATGGCACGGAGCGTTGTCGTGCTGCAATATCCCTCGTTCGTGTCTCGTGTCCCATTCTGGCCGTTCCTCGAGCAATGCATGGTTCAAATTGATCAGTTGTTGCCGGTAGCGATGCCCATTGACAGTTTCGCCCGGTTTCAGCAGCTCATAGTACACGATTCCTTTCTAGTCCCACCAAACGCAGAGCATTGTCTTCTTTCCGAAGCGATTTGGTCGTGTCGTCGATGTTGATACTTCGCCAGGTGAAAGCCACGATTTGTTGCGTTCGGGATTCTCGAAATATATCCACTTCTTATCGCCAGTAACAATTCGATGCAGGAAACTCTTTCTTTCATGCCGCAGAAGCAAAATTTCGGAAGTGGCTCTTCGATTTTCCATCTGTCTCTCAGTCAACTCATGCGGTACCCATTTTCCTTCCTTTTGAATCTTTCCCATGGCATGTAACGTTTGGAAATACCTTGGCGAGTCATGTTTAATACCTCCGCAAGTTGATCTTGTGTTTGCGTATCATCTTCATCCAATAACGCTTGCAGATCGGCGTCCTCAATTGTTTCTGGTCTTCCGGAGCGCTCCTTGTCCCCAGTGTCGAAATCGCCACTTCCGAAGCGTTTAAACCAATCTTCACAGGTAGATTTTCGATGGTGCATGTTCGCCGTAGGCCTCCTCAAGCAAACGACGTGCTTCAGCTGCACTTTTTTTTCAAGT